TGGTGCAGCTGTATAACTTTTTGGGGATCTGAGGGCCCTTGCCAAATCTTTTCAGCCTCCTGAGGAGGAAGAGGCGTTGTCGTGCCCTGTTCACGACTGTGTTGGTGTATTTGGACCATGATGGATCCTTAGTGAAGTGGACACAGAGGAACTTGAAGCTCTCGACACGTTCCACTACAGCCCGTCGACGTGAATGGGGGCGTGCTCGGCCCTCCGTTTCCTGTAGTCCACAATCGGCTCCTTTGTCATGCTCACGTTTAGGGAGAAGTCATTGTCCTGGCACCACACAGCCAGGTCTTAGACCTCCTCCCTATAGGTTGTCTCATTGATGTTGGTGTTCAGGCCTACCACCATTGTCGTCGGCAAACTTAATGATGGTGTTTGAGTCGTGCGCTGCCACGCAGTCGTGGGTGAACAGGGAGTACAGGAGGGGACTAAGCACGCACCCCTGAGGGGCCCCTGTATTTAGGGTCAGCGTGGCGGATGTGTTGCCTACCCTCACCACCTGGGGGCGTCCCATCAGGAACTCCAGGATCCAGTTGCAGAGGGAGGTGTTCAGTCCCAGGGTCCTTAGCTTAGTAATAAGCTTGGAGGACACTATGGTGTTGAATGCTGAGCTGTGGTCAATGAAAAGCATTCTCATGTAGGTGTTCCTTTTGTCCAAGTAGGAAAGGGCAGTGTGGAATGCAATAGAGAGTGCGTCATCTGTGGATCTGTTGGGGCGGTGTGCGAATTGGGATGATGGTATTGATGTGAGCCATGATCAGCCTTTCAAAGCATTTCATGGCGACAGATGTGAGTGCTACGGGGCAATAATCATTCAGACAGGTTACCTTGGCATTCTTGGGCACAGGGACTATGGTGGTCTGCTTGAAACATGTAGGTATTACAGACTGGGTCAGGGAGAGGTAAAAAATGTCAGTGAAGACAATTGCCAGCTGGTCAGTGCATGCTCTGAGTACGTGTCCTGGAAATCTGTCTGGCTCTGCGGCCTTGTAAATGTTAACCTGTTTAAAGGTCTTACTCACATTGGCCACGGAGAGTGTGATCACACAGTCGTCCAGAACAGCTGGTGCTCTCACGCATGGTTCAGTGTTGCTTGCCTCGAGGCATTTAGCTTGTCTGGCCAGCTCGGCTGCTGGGTCTCCCTTTGTAATCTGGGATACAGTAGTTTGCAAGCCCTTCCACATCCTACGAGCATCAGAGCCGGTGTAGTAGGATTCGATCTTAGTCCTGTATTGACTCTTTGCCTGTTTGATGGTTCGTTGGAGGGCGTAGCAGGATTTATTATAAGCGTCCGGTTTAGTGTCCAGCTTCTTGAACGTGGCAGCTCTAGCCTTTAGCTCAGTGTGGATGTTGCCTGTAATCCATGGCTTTTGGTTGGGATATGTACGTACGGACCCTGTTGGGACGACATCATTGATGCACATATTAATGAAGCCGATGACTGATGTGGTAAACTCCTCAATGCCATCGAATGAGTCCCGGAACATATTCCAGTCTGTGCAACAAAACAGTCCTGTAGTTTAGCATCCACTTCATCGGACCACATCCGTATTGAGCGCATCACTGGTACTTCCTGTTTTGTGTTTTTGCTTGTAAGCCGGAATCAGGAGGATAAAGTTATGGTCAGATTTGCCTATTGCAGGGCAAGGGAAAGCTGTGTGTGGAGTAAAGGTGATCTATAGTTTTTTTTGCCTCTAGTTGCACAGGTGACATGCTGGCAGAAATGAGGTCAAACGGATTTCAGTTTTCCTGCATTAAAGTCACAGGCCACTAGGAGCACCGCTTCTGGATGAACATTTTCTTGTTTGCTTATGGCCCTATACAGCTCGTTGAGTGCGGTTTTAGTGCCAGCATCGGTTTGTTGTGGTAAATAGACAGCTACGAAAAATATAGATGAAAACTCTCTTAGTAAATAGTATGGTCTACAGCTTATCATTAGGTATTCTAACTCAGGCGAGCAGAAACTCGAGACTTCCTTAATATTAGAGATCGCGCACCAGCTGTTGTTAACAAAGAGACACACACCACCCCCCTTGAGCTTACCCAACGCTGCCGTTCTGTCCTGCCGATGCATAGAAAAAACAGCTAGAATATTATCCATGTCCTTGTTCAGCCACGTTTCTGAGAAACATAGGATATTACAGTTCTTCAGGTCCCATTGATAGTATGGTCTCGAACGGAGCTTGTCTAGTTTGTTCTCCAGTGATTGTACATTTAAGCAGTAAGGCCAGAGGAGGTGTTGTATATGGCCAATATACCACGGCTAAGGGGTGTTCTTATGATCGACGCAACATGGAGTGCCTGGATACAGCCCTTAGCTGTGGTATATTGGCCATATACCACAAACCACCGAGGTGCCTTATTGCTATTATAAACTGGTTACCAACGTAATTAGTGCAGTACAAATAAATGCTTTGTCATACCCGTGGTATACGGTCTGATATACCATGGCTTTCAGCCAATCAGCATTCAGGGCTCGAACCACTCAGTTTATAATTGGCAATATAACAGACTGATTATTTACTCATCGCCATAGTTTCATCAGGGTACCCGCACGCCGGCCTCTGTATCGCCTTCTCTTCCGAGTGTCGGGGATTAGGGCCTGGTCTGGGGTGAGCAGAATGTCCTGTGCCGCTGACTCGTTGAAGTAGAGATCTTCATCCAAATCGAGGTTAGTGATCACTGTTCTGATGTCCAGAAGCTGTCTTCGGTCATAGGGAACGATGGCGGAAACATTATGTACAAAAAAAGTTAAGATCAGCGCCCAAAAATACACAAACTAGCAGAATTGTTCAGGACCCTGTAAAACGACCGCTATACATTCCACCGCCATTCTCAGACTGTTAACTTGGGACAGTAGTTTGCATTCCTCTTCCATGTTTACTGATCATTCTCTCTCTTCCTTCTCTCTCTTTCTCTTTCTCTCTCTCTTTCTCTCTTTCTCTTTGCATAGGTATGTAGTAAAGGGTTAGGGAAGGCTTCCAGTTGTTAAGCAGTTCAGTTTTTCTCCATTCCTAAAGACTTAGCGCTTATTCGCCTCACTAGACAAATCCCCATATCTTGAAAGAACTTGTGGATCTGAATTTACATTAGATCATTTTCAGTTGAAATTCAGTTGCCACCAAATAAAAGATGAGAAAAAAGGTACTAGGACAGTTTGCCTTGAGGATATTTTGGGGGGGTTTAAATGATTTTTCCTTGTACACATTATTTCTCAGTTGGACACTTTTTATCATAAGCATGTGTAGCTGCAGAGAGCTGTGGCGAGAGAAAGGGAGAGAGAGAGTTTGTAATAAAACACCGGCCTCCACTGTTGTCATTGTTCTCCCCCCTCCTCTCTCCATCCATCCATTCCCCTCTCTCTCATTATATCCTGTCTACTGGAGCAGTGCAGTGAGGGGAGCAGCAAACTGTGGATCTGGGAGGCTGGGACAGGTCTGGGATCAGTGAAGGGGATCTCCTCTGTGCTTGGTGACCCGGCCCCTCTAGGGCCTCACCCCTGCTTGCACAAAAGGGGGTTTGTTATTACTGAACTCTGACAGGCCTCTCTCCCTCGATGGGGGAAGAGGGGGAGACGGGGAAGGGTGGCCTATCCAGAGTTCAGTAGAGAGCAGGCCTAGAGGGCGGGCTAGTCTAGGCTACACGCCTGTTATTTTAGGTTTTGATGCCTGAGCCCTCTTTTGTTTTGGTGTTTGGGTACCTTGCGTTTTCTACCCTCGTCTTCTCTTGCTCTCTCTCTAGGGGAAGAGCTAACCTCCAGTGCACCACAACTAGCCCTGCATGGGTGTGATGTACCTTGGTTATGTTTTTGCCGTTATTGTATTTTAAGGAGACATTTAGTATTTTGGGAGTGCCTGCCTGGGATTACTATTCAATGTGTTCTCCATTCCACCGCTCTTCCTGCTGTGGATTTAACATGGTGGTTCATAAGGCTATCTCCATGCTGAGAAGCCATCATGTGTCCAGTCGGAGCAGAGTGAGTGGTTCTTTGTGTCTGAGGCCTTGATATGGCATGGTCATGCCACAAATGGGTTACCGTAGCAACAGACTTGAATCATTACCCTAGCAGACTTACTCGTGCGTGTTTCTGTACTTAGCTATGTTTTTAAGAACCTAAATGGAGTTTTAGATTTTAATGTTCCAGTAAACAGACCGGTCTCATCTATTGTGGTTGATTCAGAATACCATGACAACTGATGCATAGTTTCATCAATACAGAAACAAATGTGGAACTAATTGCATGTGTTTTCACTCTCTCTGCACGCATGCACACACAGACACACACAGGTGTACACACACACACACGAAACCACACACGCACACACACACTGTCCTGAGAGCCTCTCACTGAAGGGAGAGGAGTGAAGGTGTAGATTTAGAGATGTAGCCTGAGGGTTGGGTTCGTTAGTAAGATTAACCTAATTAAATTCTCTCTGTGTCTTGTTCTAAATACAGCAGGCATTCACAGACAGGCAGGGACCCAAGGCCATTTAATTAGACAACAGTGTCTGTGTTGCTGAATTGAAATGGAGAAGTATTAATTAGCTAGCATTTGTTTCTCTGAGGTTTTTGAATGTGCCATTGTGGAAGAAGTATTAATATGGATAGTTTCTTTCCTCAAGCTTGCATTACCCTTTGGTGTCTCCAACACTCCCAAGATATCTGCAGAGAGGTTAGGGGTAGAATACCCCAAGTAACAACACACTGCAATATGGAAATCAATCCCAGAATCAAAATGGCGAATAGCAGTGAGTAGTTTGCCAGTCATGGGTTGGTGGGGTAGAGTTTAGAATTCAAGTCTGGTTGTTGGTGTGTTGCTGAGGGCAATTTATATTTCTTGCTAAAAACAGAGTTGTGTTCCCCAGGTGCATGGCTCAGTCCTACTTTGTAGCTGTCAGAAAGATTGATGGGGGGGGGTGTAGAGTACCGGAGAAAAAAAACTCACATCAAAGACAGTGCTAGGATGCCTCACTCCCGGCTCCAGCCCTTTGTAGTGCAATGAGCAGAGCAGCTCTGAGAGTGGGGAGGGAGGGAGGGAGGAGAGCAGCAGTGTACCTGCAGCAGGATGCAGCAGCTCCCTCCACCTATCTCAGCTTCCTAAAACCTCTGTATGTCCTTTCATCTGCTGCTGTTTGTACCCTGCTTGGCTCCCGTCTCTCCTGCCGGCCCCTTGGCTCCCACCCCTCCCCCACTCCGCAGAGCACACGTGAAAAATATCCTCACATATACACATCACACATACACACACGTTCATGTGCGATATGGGGGAACTTGGTGCACCACACCTAAGCAATGCGTCCATGTTTCCATCACCCTTTCAGGTGCCAGACCGCCAGACAGACAGTGGCCGTGTCCGAATACCCATACTAGCGTACTAAATAGTATGCGAAAAAATACAGTTTTATAGTATGTGAAATTTTGAAAATAGTACTCCAAATACGTCATCTAATGCACGATTGCATTGACTCCCTCCATTCGTTCATTTTGGTCCAGCGCATCCATTTATTTTATTATCATCTGTTGTCTAACATGTGAGTCGGAAAGACGAGTGAATTCTACTAGATCAAACGGCAAGATTATTATTTTATTTTAGTCATTTAGCAGACGCTCTTATCCAGAGCGACTTACATGAGCAATTAGGGTTAAGTGCCTTGCTCAAGGGCACATCAACAGATTTTTCACCTAGTCGGCTCGGGGATTAGAACCAGTGACCTTTCGGTTACTGGCACAACGCTCTTAACCACTAAGCTACCTGCCGCCCCCAGTACTACATACTTATGCAGTTTAAGTATGTAGTACGCTAGGATGGTATTCGGACACGACCAGAGGGTGTCGCGGTCAACCCAACGCATCACCAGGGGCACACTCCAGGACATCTACAGCACCCGGTGTCACAGGAAGGCCAAGAAGATCTTCAAGGACCTCAGCCACCCGAGCCACGGAATGTTAACCCCACTACCTTCTAGCCTCACGAGTGGCGCAGCTTGAGGCGTCACTACAGACCCGGGTTCGATCCCAGGCTGTGTCACAGCCGGCTGTGACTGGGAGACCCATTAGGTGGCGCACAATTGGCCCAGCATCGTCCGGGTTAGGGGAGGGTTTGGCCGGCCGGGATTTCCTTGTCCCGTCGCGCTCTAGCGACTCCTTGTGTGCAAGCTGACTTCGGTCGCCAGCTGGATGGTGTTTCCTCCGACACATTGGTGTGGCTGGCTTCCGGGTTAAGCGAGCAGTGTGTCAAGAAGCAGTGCGGCTTGGCAGGGTCGTGTTACGGAGGACGCATGGCTCTCGACCTTCGCCTCTCCCGAGTCCGTAGGGGAGTTGCAGCGATGGGACGACTGTAACTACCAATTTGGATATCACGAAATTGTGGAGAAAAGGGGTCACTACCATCTAGAAGGCAGAGACAGTACAGGTGCATCAAAGCAGGGACTGAGAGACTGTTAAACAGCTTCTATCTCCAGGCCATCAGATTGTTAAACAGTCATCACTAGCTGGCTACCACACGGTATCTCCAGTATCTCAGAAATGTCTGCCCTCCTGGGCTTTTCACGCACGATAGTGTCTAGGGTTTACCGAGAATGGTGCGACAAACAAAAAACATCCAGTCAGCGGCAGTCCTGTGGGCGAAAACAGCTCATTGATGAGAGAGGTCGAAGGAGAATGGCAAGAATCGTGCAAGCTAACAGGCGGGTCACAAAGTAACGGTGCAGTACAACAGTGGTGTGCAGAACTGCATCTCGGAATGCACAACCTGTCGATCCTTGTCACGTATGGGCTATTGCAGCAGACCACACCGGGTTCCACTCCTATCAGCTAAAAACAAGAAGACCAGGCTCCATTGGGCACACAATCACCAACACTGGACAATTGAGGAGTGGAAAAACATTGCCTGGTCTGAGAAATCCTGGTTCCTGTTGTGTCATGCTGATGGCAGAGTCAGGATTTGGCTTAAGCAGCATGAGTACATGGACCCATCCTGCATGGTAAAGGCTGGTGGCAGTGTACTGGTGTGGGGAATGTTTTTCTGGCACACTTTAGGACCCTTGATACCAATTGAGCAACGAACATTTCCGACACCTTGTAGAATCCATGCCTCGAAGAATTCAGGCTGTTCTGGAGGCAAAATGGGGTCCAACCCAGTACTAGATGGGTGTACCTAATAAACTGGCCGGTGAGTGTATATTTATATTCCGGGCTCTGACATATCTTAATTATATATACTGTTCTTTACTTTTTGGTTATTATATTGCTAGATATTACTGCACTGTTGGAGCACTAGAAACACAAGCATTTCGCTGCACCTGGGATAACATCTGCAAATCTGTCTACGCTACCAATAAACTTTGATTTGACAGACAGGGCATCCCTAACCCTGGTCTGGTCCACTGATCAGTTAGCTCTAAAAAGAGGATTAAATCCAGTTGATGTCTGACTGCCCCCCCAACCCACTCCCTCTCTCACCAGTCTAATCCAAAATGACTGTGGCTCAAGGCTCCGGACTGGCTTTTGAAGATGGCTGAATTTAGGTTTATTCCCCCCATCCCACCTCAACCTCCCATGGTCACACCCTTCTAATGAAAACGATTCGTAGCCTGTGTCCGTTCCCCATCCCCAGCCCGAATGATTTGAGAGGAGTCTCTATTTTCTGGCTGTGTTGTGTGTCAGCTGTTTTTATACTGGAGGTTCCTGTTTAAAGAGCTGCTCCACTAAGAAGAGAGTCACTTGAAAAGAAAATGGGCTCTTTGGTGGTTTACTGAGGACCAGGCTAGAGAGCCACTAAGATAAGACCAGGCTAGAGAGCCACTAAGATAAGACCAGGCTAGAGAGCCACTAAGATAAGACCAGGCTAGAGAGCCACTAAGATAAGACCAGGCTAGAGAGCCACTAAGATAAGACCAGGCTAGAGAGCCACTAAGATAAGATTTAGTTATTTGGCGTCCATGTGATTTATGATTGTCAAGTCCATTTGGGCAAATGAGGCCGTGGGTGGCTTTGGTCATTCAAGAGCCCACCCTAAGCTTCGGTAAATAAGACACAAATAAGGGGCGTCACGACAACTACCTATATACAAGTTTGTCCCATTCATTTGTTTATACTAGAACTGGCTTCAAGTATCGAAACCATACCGTGGTAGGATCCTGAAGTGTGGGTGTGCCTGTAGTCTGTCTCCCAATGGACTCTCTGGGTCAGGGGAGCCCCGGTGGCCCAGCCAGGGTGAGCCGTATTGGGTTACAGATGGAGGCATTCCTCCCTGCCCAGGCCTTAGCTGTGAAAGCCACCGCGCCACGTCCAAAAACAAACAGCCTGCACTGGGGGAAGACCAGTTCACGCTTGCCGTGGTGGTGGTTCAATTTGTAGAGTAGTAATAAATGCTATAGTTGGCTTTAAGTTTTCCAAATAACCCTGTGGGTAAAACGTGCAGCATGTTGGCTGTGTTTAACTAACACGTACCTGCCAGTGTGGATCTGAGCCCACTTCTTTAACTACAGTAGAGAATGAAACCAGCTCAAAAAAGCCTCTATTCTGTACCTGATCCGCCTGACAGACCGCTTTCCAGCTTTCCAGGTTTTCCTGTGTTGATATTTAAGGAACCCAGGTCACCGTGACAAGTCTCCTCTTGATTGTGGGAGGTCCTATGATTCGCTGCTTGTTTTGACAGCTACCTCCATTGGAGGGGTGGGTGGGTGTTTAGGGATCACCACGGTAACGCAATAAAGTGGAGTGAACTCCAGGTTAGTGAGGCGGGCGGAGTGGAGTGAGGCATGCTGGGTAGTTGGTGCCCCTCTACTCTGGAATGTGTCCTACAATAGGTGTGGACAGGACAGGTGTGTGTTTGTTTGTGTGTCTGTGATTGTGCTTGTGGAAGATGGCAGTAGAGAAGCTTAAACACCTGACACATTAAGTAAACATTTATTTAACTGTTTGTGTGCCTCCCTGTGTGATTGTACCTGGCACTAACTACTGAGCCAGATGTTTGGGTGGTGTGTGTGTGTGTGTGTGTGCATACCATACCAGTGCAAGTGTTCAAAGTTTTCTTGAGGGCTTGTGGATTTTGTGTTAGTGTTAAGGTCATTATAAGGACCTCTCTTATTCTCCCTGCCATGTTTGTAGTTTAATACTTTAGAATATGGGCGTGGCCAATGGCGTGTCTGACCGAAACCTTTAAAGGCACTCCTCTTGGGCACAAAGACAAAATATTTTTTAAGGGTAATTTCCTGCAATTCTACACATTTTGTCTACACATTTTGTCATGTGGCTGAAAGAAAAATAAATCTGTTTTAAAGCAAATTTCCTGCAATTCTACACATACCATGGCCTATACCATGTTCTTATGCTAGCTGAGTGACTCAAACATTATAACAATATCAATGGGGTCCCCATGCCATGACATACATTTTTGATTCTCCCTGACTGTCTAGTTTTATATTTTGGTGATATTTAGTTCTCAAAGGGCGGCAGGTAGCTTAGTGGGTAAGAGCGTTGTGCCAGTAACCGAAAGGTCGCTGGTTCTAATCCCCGAGCCGACTAGGTGAAAAATCTGTCGATGTGCCCTTGAGCAAGGCACTTAACCCTAATTGCTCCTGTAAGTCGCTCTGGATAAGAGCGTCTGCTAAATGACCAAAAAAAAACAAAAAATTTAAATATACACTTCATATGTGGTTTTAGTTGTTTACGTTTACACTGAAAACGTTTTACTAGCCGGCCGCTGCTAAATTAATATAGGGGAAACACTGGGTTTATGCCTGTGTTTTATGATTTGTAGAAGATGATGTGTATCGTATGTTGCCTACGACCAAAGTTTTGAATGGGTTCAGGTGGTTTTGCAGTCAGCTTGTAGGCAGCATTTGACCAGAGTGGAAAGCACTAGTAAATGGTTCTTTCATGGCAGAACTGATCTATTAGAGAGTAAAGGCGCCTGTAACCAATTATCTTCAATGGACAGCAGCAGGCAGGTTTGATTTCTAAAGGCATAACACAATCTTATTACAGTAATTGACTTCAATTAGAAGGAATAGTATAATTCCAGGTAATGGTTCATTTAAGAGTGAAATAACTCCACCAAGGGCCTTTACTTTGGATGGGACCTAGGAGGGCCTGGAGTTATTCTCTCATTCTTTTCATATTCAGTTCAACGTAAAGGCAATGGCTGAGAAGGGTTGAAGGGTGTAATAAATTAAATAACACGACCTTGTCAGCAAATTACTGGTAATGAAGTGAGACATTCACGTCACAGCAAAAGAAAACCTCTGAAATTAAGCAATCCATGTGTATTTGCATCGGTATGAAGCGAGTTTGGGCCTCATGTGATTTAGTTTTTAAAGCAGCAAGTCTTTCTACAGATACTAACCCTGTTTTTCTCTCCTCTCTCTCTGCAGAGAATCTTCAACTCGTTTGTGTACACAGAGAAGACCTCGAACAGAGAGACCGAGGTACAGCAGGTGAGTCACTCTGGGTGCTCCGTTCTGTCTGTGTGTGTGTCTAGTGTGCGTGTGTGTGTGTATGTGTGTGTGTGCGTGCATAGTATGTGCGCTTGTGATTGTCTGCCGCAGTAAACACACACAGCCATCATCAGAGGGAAAGAGGGCTTATTAAAATTCTACAGCTGCCGTCTCTCTGTTTTTCACTCCTCCCCACCATCCTCCCCTCCATCCTCCCCACCATCCTCCCCACCATCCTCCCCTCCATCCTCCCTACCATCCTCCCCTCCATCCTCTCCACCATCCTCTCCACCATCCTCTCCTCCATCCTCCCCTCCATCCTCCCCTCCATCCTCTCCTCCATCCTCCCCTCCATCCTCCTCTCCATTCTCTTCTGCACTACACAGTGTCTGTGCAGTAAGGCTTCCCTCTGACAAGGTGATGCTGAAATAAAAACTGGTCTCTCTCTACCTGAACTGCAATGCACTATTAAAGACTGAATACATGTAATTTCATCTCCACTCTCCCATGGTTGGTAGGAGAGAGGCTACATGAGAATCCTAGCTAGATCTGTTAAATCAAACAAATGTCATTCAACTTTATTTATCCCTTCAGGAGCAATTAAGAAAGGCAAAGCCTGCTGCCCAGCTAGCCCAGTGTGTTGAGAGTACAGTAATATGTTAGTGTGTTCCTCTGGTCCTGGGCACTGTGGGCAGAGCTAGTAAGCTGGCACTATGTAGAGTAGTAGACAACCACAGCAGTCCGTTTACTGCCCATCCCTGCGCTGCAGTGGTCTGTGATGTTTTCACTGTTTGGTTTGGCAGACTGGCAGTTTCCATTTCCACTGGCTCAGTATAATACAGTACATTCATTTGCATACCAAGTGCAAACCAATTCTATATGTAGAAACTGACAAATGTCGGCAGTCAAACGCCTACCAGCAGTGGTCCCTAAAACACACCGCCCCGAAAGAACGACAGATCAACGTTCAGTGCAGTGTGTGCGGTCCCTAAGCCTCAGGACAATTAAGCATTACCAAGACCAGACTTGGCATCGCTGGGAAGATTCTCCCTGGGTAGGAGAGAGATGGCATGTTGGCATCATGTCAGCCAAACGGCACCAATTAGAGCTGAATCCACATTGGGGAGGAAGCCCAAAGACAAAACACTGACAGAGAGACGGGCAGAGAGAAGGAGCCTGGCACCCTGGCTCCCCTTCACTCTCCTCTCCCTCCCTCTACCCAGCTTGCATAGGAGCAGGGAGAGGGGAGGAGAGAGGGACATCTGTCACTAAGTAATGACATGGGCTGGCCCACTCCTCTCATCCCAAAATGATGGGTAAAGTGTAATGAACATGATTGTAGATGGTTATTTGGTTTAGGTGGTGTTTTTACAGTATACTCCAGGATATGTTCTGCCTCCCCTCCACTCTGAGAGACATGTAAGGAAGATGTGTGTTATCAGGAAATAAATCTGGAACCAAAATGAGGGGCGTTTTTTTGAAGAGCCAACTCAGACTGAGACAGTGGAGTAGACGTCTCCTATTAGATCTCCTCAGCTTTACGTCTGCTGTTTGCTGCTCTGGGGAGACAAGATGGAGTCTGCTGTTTGCTGCTCTGGGGAGACAAGATGGAGTCTGCTGTTTGCTGCTCTGGGGAGGTAAGATGGAGTCTGCTGTTTGCTGCTCTGGGGAGACAAGATGGAGTCTGCTGTTTGCTGCTCTGGGGAGATAAGATGGAGTCTGCTGTTTGCTGCTCTGGGGAGATAAGATGGAGTCTGCTGTTTGCTCCTCTGGGGAGATAAGATGGAGTCTGCTGTTTGCTGCTCTGGGGAGACAAGATGGAGTCTGCTGTTTGCTGCTCTGGGGAGATAAGATGGAGTCTGCTGTTTGCTGCTCTGGGGAGACAAGATGGAGTCTGCTGTTTGCTGCTCTGGGGAGATAAGATGGAGTCTGCTGTTTGCTCCTCTGGGGAGATAAGATGGAGTCTGCTGTTTGCTGCTCTGGGGAGACAAGATGGAGTCTGCTGTTTGCTGCTCTGGGGAGATAAGATGGAGTCTGCTGTTTGCTGCTCTGGGGAGACAAGATGGAGTCTGCTGTTTGCTGCTCTGGGGAGATAAGATGGAGTCTGCTGTTTGCTCCTCTGGGGAGATAAGATGGAGTCTGCTGTTTGCTGCTCTGGGGAGACAAGATGGAGTCTGCTGTTTGCTCCTCTGGGGAGATAAGATGGAGTCTGCTGTTTGCTCCTCTGGGGAGATAAGATGGAGTCTGCTGTTTGCTGCTCTGGGGAGACAAGATGGAGTCTGCTGTTTGCTGCTCTGGGGAGACAAGATGGAGTCTGCTGTTTGCTGCTCTGGGGAGACAAGATGGAGTCTGCTGTTTGCTCCTCTGGGGAGGTAAGATGGAGTCTGCTGTTTGCTGCTCTGGGGAGACAAGATGGAGTCTGCTGTTTGCTGCTCTGGGGAGACAAGATGGAGTCTGCTGTTTGCTGCTCTGGGGAGACGAGATGGAGTCTGCTGTTTGCTCCTCTGGGGAGATAAGATGGAGTCTGCTGTTTGCTCCTCTGGAGAGACAAGATGGAGTCTGCTGTTTGCTCCTCTGGGGAGGTAAGATGGAGTCTGCTGTTTGCTCCTCTGGGGAGGTAAGATGGAGTCTGCTGTTTGCTGCTCTGGGGAGACAAGATGGAGTCTGCTGTTTGCTGCTCTGGGGAGACAAGATGGAGTCTGCTGTTTGCTGCTCTGGGGAGACGAGATGGAGTCTGCTGTTTGCTGCTCTGGGGAGATAAGATGGAGTCTACTGTTTGCTCCTCTGGAGAGATAAGATGGAGTCTGCTGTTTGCTGCTCTGGAGAGATAAGATGGAGTCTGCTGTTTGCTGCTCTGGGGAGACAAGATGGAGTCTGCTGTTTGCTCCTCTGGGGAGACAAGATGGAGTCTGCTGTTTGCTGCTCTGGGGAGACAAGATGGAGTCTGCTGTTTGCTGCTCTGGAGAGATAAGATGGAGTCTGCTGTTTGCTGCTCTGGGGAGACAAGATGGAGTCTGCTGTTTGCTCCTCTGGGGAGATAAGATAGAATCAGCAGAGAGAGACAGCCGGCAGACAATGGGCAGCTAGCCTATGGTCAAAAGCTGCCTATAGATGGATGCATAGTTGTCTCAGGTCTGTCTCAGGTCTGTCTCAGGTCTGTCTCAGGTGTGTGTGTGGGTGTCAGGTGTGTGTGTATTTCAGGTGTTTGTGTGTGTGTCAGGTGGTGTGTATCAGGTGTGTGTATCAGTGGTCTAACAGTGACATTTTAAGTAAAGGCTAGCTAGAGCTAGTGGAAGGGTTTCTCTGTTTCTGTTCAGCTCCATGGAGTGACCTTGATGGGCTGTTTATTCTGTAACATTCTCCCAGTCTGGTATTGACACGGGTCACAGCTTTCCTCCCTAACCCAGCCCTATTCCAGCCCTTGCCATAACCACACTGAACCAGAACCACACAATACAACTGCATGGTCTGAGGCTGGCTGGCAAGAGCTACAGCAACCACAGAGCCAATATGTGTTATATTGAAGGGGATAGAGGTGGGGGGAGTGAGCGGTGAGGCCGGGTGTGTGGTTGGGATTTGTGGGTAAAGAGAGGGCGGGTGGTCAGGGAGGGGAGAGTGGTTTTGGCTATGGAAAAATAGTAAGTCCCTAAACCTGTGCTTTGCAGGTCTCGGGTTTCTAGTTTCTCTGCACTCATTAATGGGTATTTCTCTATTTACCCCAACTGTGCTGTGGACACACACACACACACACACACACACACACACACACACACACACACACACACACCCATAGAGTCCACATTGGGGCTAATTGCTGTGTGAGCGTGCTGGTCCGGCCCAGTCTGAGGGGGTGTACAGTATGGCATGAGTCACAAATGGCACCCTATTACCTACATAGTGCACTACTTTTGACCTCAGCCTTATGGGCAGTGGTCAAAAGTAGTGTACTATATAGGGAGCCATTTGGGACGCATTCAATGTATAGTGTAGTTGTGTAATTCAGGGTGACGCCGCTGGGCCTGTATAAAGCCCTAATGGGAGCAGCGGCTGTCTAATTTAATAGGAATAGCAGCTGGCTGATTAGGGGTATCGCGTCAGTGGGTCAGAGCACATTTCTCTGTTCCTGGCCTGGGCAAGGGCTGTGTTGGCAGGCATGGCTCATTATGGAATGTGGACAGACATGGAGACTGGTTGCCGTAGTAGCGGTTCTATCCTGTTTTTTTCCAGGCAGTAATTGAATGTAGTGACTTGACTTCAGTCTTTGACTCTTCAAAAAACAACATTTGAGGCATTTAGCAGACTCCGTTATCCAGAGCAACTTACAGGAGCAGTTAGGGTTGTGCCTTGCTCAAGGGCACATCGACATATTTTTTTCAACTAGTCAGCTCAGGGATTCAAACCAGCGACATTTTGGTTACAGGCCCAACACTCTTAACCGCTAGGCTACCTGCCGCTCCAGCCTTGTTACTGTGTAGGCCTAAAGCCTGCTGTATGGAATGAGTTTGAGTTATTCATTTCTAATCTGTTTTATTGTATGCAGGCTATGTGTTTGAATGCATGTGGGTGTGAGTTGCGATAGTCCCGTAGGTTCTAACTAGGTTCCCTGTGGGGGCTTTTCATTTGCTCCAGAGTAGGAACAGGAACCTGTTGTGAGAAGCTGCTGGTGCGCTGGTTATTAGTGTCCCCCAGGGGGAACCATTTTTGAATGAGGCTTAGAGGTCTGTGCACTCAGCCATAACTCCCCCCTGAGAGCTGTAATGTATGCCTAGCGTTAGTTAACACACTTACACAGGACAGACAGTAGTGTTGAGCGAAAATGAACCGAAATCTTGTATTTCTTTTTCGTTTTTTTAAACAACTAATTGACTGACAGGTTCAGTTATTTGAATTCAATTTCGTACATTTTTTTCTGTGAGCTTCATGCGCACATTGTGCCATTTTTAGTAGGGAGTTGTAGTTTCCAACAGGCCAATATTCTACATAGTTTAGCGCCAAAAACGTGGTAATTAACTACAATGACCATAAGCCACTTGTCCGTTCAGTGTGTTTCTTTAACGCCTGCTACATTAGGTTAATGAGGGGAAGACACTGAGAGAAGAGACAGAAGAATGCGCGATGGAGAGGGACAGAGAGCAGTTACTTCGCGAGGTATCTCTACCTGAAAATACATGATCTAAGTGATTGATCGTTGGTATTCAGCAGTCATAAAAGTATGCCTTATTTACTTTGAAGAACTACTAAAATAGTGATTTTGTCAGACAGCATAAGCAGCAGCTCTATAGAGATGAGATGACTTGGAATTAAATAATAAAGTCATCAAATAAAACAAATGTAATATACAGAACAATTAATATTTTATGAAAGTAAAGTAATGTGAATAAATGATGGTTGATAAGTGATAAGTAGTAATGGGCAGACACTGCCATCATGGGACTTGTACTAATAGTTTAAATTGTTACAGCATTCAACCCACATAATATACAGTGCATTTTAATAAAAAATCAAACGCGAAATCACATTATTATTTTTTGATAACCAAACCGAAACCGAACCGACCTCAAAAAGCAATAATCGCTCAGCACTAACAGCCAGGGGACTAGTCAGGTCCAACACTAACCAGCAGGATTAAATGATCTGCCCTTTGTTTGGGAGGAACTACTTTTTCCTTCTCTTGGTTTCCATGACTTTGAGAGTGTAGCACAGGTTTATTCCTCACTAGCCCTCCATCATCCATCATGATTTCTCCTTAACGTTGACAGCTTTCACATGGAGTCTGGTTCTTTGATGCTGTTCACAGATCTTTCCCTTGGTAATTCAGCCAGTATGTATGAGGACCTCGTGTGTGTTAAGTGCCTTGTTCTGACTGTGATTAATACAGAAGAGTAGCCTATCTGACCTGGGAGGGTACCCATACCTGCTTCAACCCAACTTTAATAAAAAGTGAATAGGTGCTCAACTAAGGGACTTTAGGAATCCAAAATGTCATCTTATTCATCTTCTGACTGTGTGAGCATGTGTGCTGTAGTGTTTTTCGTAGGTAATTCCACCATGATGAGGAGGACCGTATGTACGATGTCATACAGAATATATCGAACTGTGTGTGTGTTTGGTTGTAGCTTGCGAAGAAGATCCGTGAGAAGTTTAACCGCTACCTGGATGTGGTGAACAGGAACAAGCAGGTGGTGGAGGTGTCCTACACAGCCCACCTGACCTCTCCTCTGACCGCCATCCAGGACTGCTGCACCATCCCCCCCTCCATGGTTGAGTGAGTATTAACCCCTAAACACACCCCACAAACCCCTTACCCCCTTCCTGTGTTTAAATGTGTTTTGATCCTTTCTAGGAACACTTATCTCCACATGTGCAAAATCTGCAAATTAAATTATTTCCACATGCATGAGCAGCTGTAGTGGTGGTGGTGAGCTCCACTGGTCTGCTCTGCCCCCATTTTAATCTCCCAGACAGATGTGGGGGATTATGGGTAATGGAGTTGTTTGAAGGCCTAGCTGTGTGGTTAGTAGGCTCAGAGTGGGGTCAGGGAGGAACTTTCTCTGAAGTCCATTCGCTTTCCACCAATCTCCCGCTACAGCAGGAGCAAACACACCTCAAACGACAGAGAGAGAGAGAGTGGACAGAGCGCTGCTTTCAACCCTAATCGCTACAGCACCAGCTGTCTACATCCCTCACTGAGCACGGTTACATGCACACAATAATACGATTATTATGGATAGTCTGATTTAATATAATAGTTTGTTTAAAACGTTTACATGCTTTGCAAGAAGAACGATTTCCCTTATAATCTTGTTTACATGGACCCTTATAAACTTGTTTACATGGACACATCTGAAATCAGGCTACTTGATGGCACTCTGATAAATGCAGAAAATCTCCAATCAAAATAAACATTCTACAACAGCGACCATGTTATTATTGTTGATTTGGATGTGAAAACTACTTTTAAAAGGCATACTTTGTTTTTCTGAACTCACTTCACTCGCGCATATAGAGGGAGGCTCGCGCTACCGGTGCTGACACATGTGCAGATCAATACACTGCTGGAACTCTGATTAAGGCGTTTACATGTCCTAACAAATCGAAAGATTGCTCAGAAAACCAGGTATTTTAATCGGCGTATGCTTACTTCGATTTTGACCCTACGCCGATTTAAGATAAGCAGAGTAAGGTGTTTACATGACCATTTCCATACTCGGCCTACTGCCATAATCAGTTTAATATCGAATGATCAGTGTGCATGTAAACATACTCCCTCTCTCTCTCCCTCTCTCTTCCTATATTTTTCTACTTCTCTCTCCCTCTATCTCCAAGGCCTCTATCGCTTTCTCTCTTCATGCCTCTTCCTCTCTTTGTCTGTTTCTCCCTCCCTCTCTCTCAGACCTAATGTAGTTTTGATGGTGTATGTTATGACTAATCTGGAGTTCCAGGGTCTCTGCTTCTCCCACAGTCAGCCTGGCTCCAGTCCAGGATAATACTGGGAGAATTTCATCAGAATTTAGTCGGCCATGCTTTTCTCTCACATGCACACACTTTGTCATTATTCTGGAGTAGAGAAAGGGAGAGCTGGGGTGGATATACTGAAGGTTGTATAAGATGTTGGGAACGTGGCGAGGAGGGTTAAACAAAATTCAGGCTCACTTCTGAGGGCTGCCTGTCAGTCTAATAGCAGTGCATCGCTCCCACAACTTCAAAGGATCCCACTGGGGAAAAGCTGACAGCTCCTGCTTTGAGAAAGTTCATTTAGGAGCGTGACCGTTTGGAGGAGTGTGGAATAACTTTTTCTCTCCCCAGGGTCACACAGTCCCAGCCAGGAAAGTTAAAGATCCAAACATCTGATCTGTGCCAGTGCAATACCATGGCAGGACTTCGAACGAGGCCCGTTCTCGGACTCTAACTCAGTGCTGTGCTGGAACCTCCAGAGAGGCTGGTGGCGAGCCCATGCGTCCCCAGGTCAGGGTGTCTTTCAACGGGCTTTGAGTCAGCTGCTGCTGCCTGCTTCTGGGTCAGACGGCCGGTCATAGCCGGGGGGTGTTAGGTGGTTAACAGGATGTCCAGGGGTGAAAGTAGATTTAATTTCTTTCCGGTATGGGACACCCAAGTGCGCACATTGATTTTTTTTTTTATACTGCAAACATTACAGGGTAGCCTACTCTGCTGACACCGACAAACAGATCAGGGCAGACACATACAATATGACGTCCATCTAACCTGGAAGAGGAAGTTATTGTCCAAAAACAAACAGAAGTGGCACTGACCCAATGATAAAGACAGTGAATATTTACAGTTACCGACTGATTGTCAAACAGTCACTTATCAAAGGCGCTCCTCTGGGCTACTCGCGCACTTTCATCCACTCACAAAATAATGTCAGCATCCAAACCCCAACAGTGCACCTGCAATTTGAAATTGATGAATCCACTGTTGTCCGCGCGCCTCGGTCTCGGCCACTCATCTCCGCCTTGACAAAATGTTGCCTAAGTGTTCTCCTCAAACCACAACACAATTTGGAGCATATACCACCCGGTTTCCAGTCATTTCATTAATTTTTCATGCGGCTGACATGCATTAATGTTAAATAATGGTGTAATAGCCTATAGTTGTTTGGGCATGTTGTATTAATTATGATAGGCTTACGTTTTACCGGTACGGCGTACCCCCCCCCTATTTATTTTGCCGGGACGCCGTTCCAGACCGCCTTACTTTCACCCCTGCCCGTTTCACTCAGCCATCTTGCGACCACGGTGGTGTCAGCTAGACCAGTGACCACAGGGCCACCACACATACCACGCTGGAATGCTTTCATCAATGTTTGGTCTGATGGCCAGGTTCCAGGTCTAGTCAACATATCAATGCCTGAAAATAGCACATGTTTCTGTTTTAGTGACTAATCTTCAGGTAGATGGGTACCAGCTAGATCCGTTTCTTTTTAAAACGTATTTTCAGTTGCAGATGACGATATCAATTGGCTGATAATTCATCATAAAGCCATTCATTTAGATGTAGGATGTGTGGCATTGCAGACACTGCTCATTTGCCCGCCTCCAGTGTAAGCTAGCAGAATGTAGTATAGGTAAGCTGCCATAACTGTCACCTCTACGGCAGCTCTGCTCCCAGTGCCAGACAGAACACATACACAGACAGACAGACAGACGGCTCTAGCTACAGTATTAAATTGAACATAATATGTATGTTTCTCTGTGACTACATCTACCTCAGGAAGACAAATGCCAGCCAGGCAGGCAGGTGGAGATAAGAGAAGGTGTTTAGCTGGATAGCTGTGTGTGTGTTTTAAAGAATGACAGGGGTTTTATACAGGGTTTTATTGTTATAACGGGTATTCCAGGCTGTCATTTACTAGATGGAGGCTGGAGGAAAACCTGTATTGTATTCCACCCAATCACTTCTGATGTTTTTGTCTGGCTACAGTCTCCAGTGTGGTGGTATAGTAGTGTTGCTCGGGGGATAATATGATAAGGACACACAGTGCATTCGGAAAGTATTCAGAACCCTTTACTTTTTCCACATTTTGTTACATTACAGCCTTATTCTAAAATGGATTAAATAATTTTTCCCCCTCAGCAATCTACACAAAATACCCAATAATGACAAAGCAAAAACAGGTGTTTACAATTTTTTCCCCATTTATAAAATAAAAAATACATACCTTATTTACATAAGTATTCAGACCCTTTGCTATGAGACTCGAAATTGAGCTCAGGTGCATCCTGTTTCCATTGATCATCCTTGAGATGTTTCTACAACTTGATTGGAGTCCACCTGTGGTAAAATCAATTGATTGGACATGATTTGGAATGCCACACACCTGTCACAAACCATGAGGTTGAAGGAATTGTCCGTAAAGCTCCAAGACAGGATTGTGTTGAGGCACAGATCTGGGAAGGGTACCAAAAAACTACTGCAGCATTGAAGGTCCCCAAGAACACAGTGGCCTCCATCATACTTAAGTGGAAGAAGTTTGGAACCACCAAGACTCTTCCTAGAGCTGGCCGTCCGGCCAAACTGAGCAATCGGGGGAGAAGGGCCTTGGTCAGGGAGTTGACCAAGAACATGATGGTCACTCTCACAGAGCTCCAGAGTTCTTCTGTGGAGATGGGAGAACCTTCCAGAAGGACAACCATCTCTGCAGCACTCCACCAATCAGGCCTTTGTGGTAGAGTGGCTAGATGGAAGCCACTCCTCAGTAAATGGCACATGACAGCCCTCTTGGAGTTTGCCAAAAGGCACCTAAAGGACTCTCAGACCATGAGAAACAAGATTTTCTGGTCTGATGAAACCAAGAAAGCGTCACATCTGAAGGAAACCTGGCACAATCCCTACGGTGAAGCATGGTGGTGGCAGCATCATGCTGTGGGGATGTTTTTCAGCGGCAGGGACTGGGAGACTAGTCAGGATCGAAGGAAAGATGAATGGAGCAAAGTACAGAGAGATCCTTGATAAAAACCTGCTCCAGAGCGCTCAGGACCTCAGACTGGGGTGAAGGTTCACCTTCCAACAGGACAACAACCCTAAGCACACAGCCAAGACAACGCATGAGTGGCTTCGGGACAATTCTCTGAATGTCCTTGAGTGGCCCAGCCACAGCCTGGACTTGAACCCGATCTAACATCTCTGGAGAGACCTGAAAATAGCTGTGCAGTGACCTGACAAAGCTTGAGAGGATCTGCAGAGAAGAATGGGAGAAACTCCCCAAATACAGGTGTGCCAAGCTTGTAGCGTAATACCCAAGAAGACTCAAGGCTGTAATCGCTGCTGAAGGTGCTTCAACAAAGTACTGAGTAAAGGGTCTGAATACTTATGTAAATGTTATATTTCCGTTTGTAAATTTTTTAAACATTTGCAAACATTTCTAAAAACCTGTTTTTGCTTTGTCATTATGGGGTATTGTGTGTAGATTGATGAGGAAAAATAACTATTTAATCTATTTTAGAATAAGGCAGTAACGTAACAAAACGTGGAAGAAGTCAAGGGGTCTGAATACATTCCGAATACACTGTACTACTGTGTATTGTTATGACATAGGGAACGGGATAGGGAATGGCTGCAAAAAGGGTACACATTCAATTTTTGAAATTAATTTGTATTTGTTTACTTTCCCACTGGTGACTGTTGAGCCCCTCTCCTCCGGCTGTGGTGTGTGTTGATGCTGGACTGGTCTCCATGAGAGACAGCCGGAACTGGGTTCTGGTCTGAGCTGGGATCAGCTGTTTTTTTCCGTTTGCTCAGTGAGTGAGCTAAAGAAGCCTCTGTTTGATCATGAGGTAGAGCTAGAGAGGGATGGATGAGAGGAGAGAAGGAGAGAGGGATGAGGAAAGAGAGGGGCTTAACTGACCTAAAAGGCTTGAAAATGGGCTGATGGTAGCTCTCTCTTTCTTGCCCTCTCGCTTTCTCACTCTGTCTCTTTCTCTCTCTCAGTCACGCCACATGCTTCTGTCCATATCAGGAGATCTCAGGAGGCCTTTTCCATAAGCTAGCTAAAGCTTCAAGTAATGGAAGAGCAGTATGTGGTTCTGGTATAAGGAAATGCTCCCTCTTAAAGCAGCTTCAGAGGTTGGTTCATATATATTGATTTATTTTCTACCCCTTTTAATACCTGGGATGTTTTTCAAGACCCTCATTTACATGCTGGAAGGTTTTTCTCTCTCTTTCTACTCTCTTTCTCTCTCTCCCCCCCCCCCCTCTCTCTCTCCTCTCCCCTTTCCATCTCTCTCTCTCCTTCTCTCATTCTTTCTCTCTCCTCCATTTCTCTCCCTCGCTCCTGCACCACCCTCATTCTCCTAGTTTTTGATGTCGAATTCAAAGCGCTTGCAAATGTAATTTTTATCTGGAACATTCTCTTAGCCCCCACATGTAAAGTGTGTTGGAGGGGAATAATAATGTCTGTAGCCTGATGGGAATTAAATGTCTGAAGTTCAAAGCAGCTGGTACATCAGAGCAGCTGTCAATCAAACACACTCTCTCAAGCTCCGGATGGGGGGGGGTGATAGAGACGATGACAGAAGTTTGTGTGTGTGTGAGCGAGCGAGCGCGACAGGGAATAACCGGTTACTTGTGGTTTGTTGTGTTGGGTATGTGAGCCAGCAGGGGGGAGGGGGTTTATTGGAGGTGGAGCTGAGGGGGGAGTGTTGGATCAAAGCGACCTGGCCATGGTGCAGCGTGGAGCAGCCTGCTCCCCTGAGATGCCCCCCTCCTCTCCTCTCCCCATCCCTCTATCAGCTCTTCATTAGAGTAGCTGAGGCAGCCTGAAAACAATGCTGGGATGGATAAGAATACCTGCTATGACAGCATGGAGTGACCAGGGGGCTGCCAACCCTGTGTGATAGGGAATCTACTGGGCTTATGGCTTTCTTTCTTTGTTTGTTTCTATCTTTCTATCTTTCTTTCTATCTTTCTTTCTATCTTTCTTTCTATCTTTCTTTCTATCTTTCTTTCTATCTATCTTTCTTTCTATCTTTCTATCTTTCTTTCTTTCTTTCTTTCTTTCTTTCTATCTTTCTATCTTTCTTTCTTTCTTTCTTTCTTTCTTTCTTTCTATCTTTCTATCTTTCTTTCTTTCTTTCTTTCTATCTTTCTTTCTATCTTTCTTTCTATCTATCTTTCTTTCTATCTTTCTATCTTTCTTTCTTTCTTTCTTTCTTTCTTTCTATGGTTGATAAGTGAAATATACGTCCAATTAGTTCTGTTGTAAACATGTTGTCTTTATCCTTATTCAGGTTTGATGGTAACTTCAACACCAACGTGTCCAAGACCATCTGTTGTGACAGGCTGTCCCCCACGGTCAACAGTCGAGCCTTCAACCCTGGACGGGACCTCAACTCAGGTGGGTCACCTTCTACCAGTCCTTACCCCTACCATCCCTTACCCCTACCAGCCCTTACCCCCTCACTACCCCCTTAACCCTACCACACCTTACTCCTCTCACTAACCCCTTACCCCTACCACCCATTATGGCAACCCATATTTCTAAGAAATTAATATTCCTCACCATATGGTTAAATCTTAAAAGGAACAAGTATTTGAACCCAGATGGAAATAACAAACTGTGCCTGTTCCACGCGTTATTAGACCACTTTGTATTCTGTTTTCTCTACTACTCTCTCTCCCTTCCTTTTTCCTACTCTCTCTCTTTTTCTCTTTGATTCAAGAATAGTGCTTTTTTTCTTTGCTGAAAATTCTGAGATCAAATGAAGTATTTTGGTCCGCTTCTCCATTCAGGAACTGGATCTTTTTCTCATTCTACATTAGGAGGCTTTGTCGGGCTTTGCCATATGCCCCTTCTGCACTGCTGTTAGCCAATCAGATAGGCTGTCACCTAATCATAATCAGACGTGATGACGTCATACATTTAACCTCTGCATCAGAACACTCCCAGTCAAAGTCCAGACAATCAACAATGAACACTATAAATGCTGTCTAATGATCCGTTTATTAGTTATCATGGCAGAATATCGCTAACCCGTGCGCTGACTGTACTGAAGCAGCTGCAGTATTAGCCCAACATTTTCCACTCCTAATCACACTCTTGCTAATGGTCATTTTAATCGCGATGTGGAAATGCTGGCAAAGTCAACCGCTCTCTCACACACACTACCCCTCCTCTGTAAGGTCTGTAGAAACCCCACAGCTTGTTCCCCTACCGCTGACTCTTCGTCTCTCACACCCTCTCCGGCCAAATTCCAGGCCGCTCCGCCTCCGAGCAGATTAGGGCGATTCATCTTCATCTCAGAGCTTATTTTTCCAAAGCCAGTCATCAGGAGTTCATGTTACCACCGAGCCTCCATTCCTCAGCCTGTCTTGACCTCCAGCCTCTGCTAGCATTCATCGACCCCATTTGTCTTGACCCAGTCTAAACAACCAAAGAGAGAGAAGGAATAGGCAGATTATCCAGAGGAGGAGAGAGGGAGAAATGACTGGGGGAGCAAGAGAAGTGAGTGAAGAAACAAAGTTTGATCTGTCCTTTCCTTCTGGTTCTTGTTTTCCTCATCTCATTCCTATTATCTTCTCCCTCCTCCTGTTTTCTGTCCTTCTTTCCCTGTACTTTTTTTGCGCTCTTTATTTTTGCTTTAATAAAAATAGCATTTAGCAGATGCTTTTATCCAAAGAGACTTACAGTCATGCGTGCATACATTTTATGTATGGGTGTCCCCGGGATTCGAACCCACAATCTTGTCATTGCAAACACCGTGCTCTACCATCTGAGCCAGACAAGACCACTCTACTGTCTCTTGTCAGTCATTGACTCAAAGTCATTCCTCTTTCCACTTTCTCCTCTGACACAACAGCTGTTTTCTCAATCTGTATTAGTTTCCACAGTACTCCAGCCACTGGTTTGATGTGAGTGTAGTTAGTTTTCCAATCCCTGCCCAGTGGACACATGAACCCTTCTGCACATAGCCAAAGTGTTACTGAGCTGGGAATGGAGGGGGGTGATTGAGTAGTGAGTATGGATGGAGGGGGTTAGGGTTAAGGCATCAGTGTGCTTCAGTTCGGCTGGCGCCTAATGAGTGTGCTCGCATACTCCCTTGCTTGAAAAATGAGAAAAAAGTGGCAATAGTACTGATTTCCCATTTTGAGAAGCCGTAGCCAGTGTACACTTCCTGAAAATAGACAGAATTAATCTAAGATGACTCAAGAAATCTGTCATTAATTTAGACGTTTTTGCAGAGGAGATCTTAGTCGCACGATTTTACATCTTAACTAAGATGTTTGGTGCAGTATTTCTCAATGAAAACATGTGCATGAAAATGAGTCGTCTCTCGTTGAATGACAACAAAGACTTTACTGAAGAATCCTTACTGTTGACCAATCACCGACGAAGGGGTGTAAACTTCGGCTACCTACTTGTACCCCCTGTATATAGCAGCAGTAAAGTAAAAATAACAGTAGTGAGGCTATATACAGGGGGTACCGGTACAGAGTCAATGTGAAATAACAGTAGTGAGGCTATATACAGGGGGTACCGGTACAGAGTCAATGTGAAATAACAGTAGTGAGGCTATATACAGGGGGTACCGGTACAGGGTCAATGTGAAATAACAGTAGTGAGGCTATATACAGGGGGTACCGGTACAGGGTCAATGTGCGGGGGCACCGGCTAGTCGAGGTAATTGAGGTAATATGTACATGTGGGTAGAGTTAAAGTGACTATGCATAAATAATAAACAGAGTAGCAGCAGCGTAAAGAGGGGGTTGGGGTGGGGTGTCCAATTTGTAAGTCGCTCTGGATAAGAGCGTCTGCTAAATGATTTAAATGTAAATGTGGGCGTGCAATGCAAATAGTCCAGGTATCCATAAGTAAAAATGTATGCACACATGACTGTAAGTCGCTTTGGATAAAAGCGTCTGCTAAATGGCATATTAATCCATGATTAGCTGTTCAGGAGTCTTATGGCTTGGGGGTAGAAGCTGTTAAGAAGCCTTTTGGACATAGACTTGGCGCTCCGGTACCGCTGGTTGTTGTAGTGTTGGTCTATATAAGGTACTGTGTTCATGTTGTCGTGGGCTGCTAGTTTGTAGTTTTATGTTGGGTAGTGTGTTTGGAAATACTGAGGAAATTGGATTAGCATGTGTGCAGTGGGGCAATGAACTTTAGTGTGTCGCTAGCTACGACATGCCTCTCTTTTATAAGGTAGCTAGGCTAAATACGTCTTCCAGCAACTTTTGAACTGTTACTGTTGAGAAGAGATATCCTAAGTATAAATACAGTGGAGTACACCCACTAAAGGGTAAACAAATACATTTTGAGCAAAATAGTGTTTTTTTTTTACTAAACTGCAAACTTCAAGGAGTAGGGCATTCAAGGAGTTGGTCTGATTGGAATGTGTGATGTAATCGGCCTCCCCCCCCTTGCTTGAGGAACAATAGAGGAGCAATGGAGAACAAAAGAGGAAAGCCCCCCCCCTTGTGCTATGTCATGACCTACCTGGACCACCTATTGAGATGGGCCTTTTTGTTAAGTAAATCACGTCTTAAATGAGGTGAAAAGGAGACTGGAGTGGCACTTTAAACGCTGTCTTCATGTTTGCTGTTATCTATCTTCAGGGCCCTACTTTGTTAGAGAGGAGCAAAACACACACAAACCAAGACGGTGAACACTTTTTGGCACGGGTTGAGGAATCTGGCTCTATTTGTGTGTCCCACCCCCTCTCTTCTGTCTCTTTCATGTGAATGGCTGTTTTGTGTTCCTCTGTTGCTGTGCTCCGCCAGACAGGAAGCTGCAGAGTTTGTGATCTGATCTCTCTGAAGATTCTCTTGACTTCTCTGACCCAATAAAACGATTTGTTTAGGCAGCTAATTTGACCCTGTTCCCTGGCAGATGCTGCAGCTAGATCAGCCTGCAGTGCAGTAATATAACCAACCAGTAAACAAGAAACATTCCTTAATATGTCAGTCTTTATCTCTTGAAAGTCACATTTTGTTAATAGAGAAAGTTTGGTTTAAGTTGAGACGCTACAGCATACAATGACATTCTAGATGATTCTGTGCTTCTAACTTTGTGGCAACTGTTTGGGGAAGGCCCTTTCTTGTTTCAGCATGACAATGCCCCCATGCACAAAGCGAGGTGCATAGAGAAATTGATTGTCGAGATCGGTGTGGAAGAACTTGACTGGCCTGCACAGAGCCCTGACCTCAACCCCAACTAACACCTTTGGGATGAATTGGAACGCCGACTGCGAGCCAGGCCTAATCGCCCAACATCAGTGCCCGACCTCACTAATGCTCTTACATTTTACATTTTAGTCATTTAACAGACGCTCTTATCCGGAGCGACTTACAGTTAGTGAGTGCATACATTTTCATACTGGCCCCCCGTGGGAAACGAACCCACAACCCTGGCGTTGCAAGCGCCATGCTCTACCAACTGAGCTACAGGGGACTCTTGTGGCTGAATGGAAGCAGGTCCCCTTAGGAATGTTCCAACATCTAGTGGAAAGCCTTCCCAGAAGAGTGGAGGCTGTTATAGCAGCGAAGCGGGGACCAACTCCATATTAATGGCCATGATATTGGAATGGGATGTTCGACGAGCAGGTGTCCACATACTTTTGGTCATGTAGTGTACATAGGCCTAATGTTGTCAGCGGCACATTGTGTAACTACTAAGACCACACAGTTGCACTTAAGTGAAACGATTATAACCATGTCAGTAATACAGCAGAATGAACAGTTTAATCTGATATCCAGTCTGACGCATGCACACAGGGAATTTGATTTTATGCCTTACATTATTGTTTTTATTATTAGTATTCTCATGTGTGCTCACTTACTTTTCACACACAGACTAGAGGAGACTAGGTTAACCCTTTAAAGTCTACATCTATCAGTGGGCTTTGACAGGTGTCTGGGAGCCCAGAATGAGTCCCCCTAGTTGGTTAAGTCTCTGTCTCGCGCTCTGTCTCTCTCTCTCGCGCCATCTCTCTCGCACACTCAGTCTCGCACGCTCAGTCTCTCTCGCTCCCTCTCTCTCTCTCTCTCTCGTATTATTCCTACCTACTGTTTGTAATACTGACATCTCTCTCCTCTGTAGTGTTGGCAGATAACCTGAAGTCCAACCCTGGCATCAAGTGGCAATACTTCAGCTCAGAGGAGGGCATCTTCACTGTGTTCCCCGCCCACAAGTTCCACTGCAAGGGCAACTACGAGCACCGCAGCAGGTACAGTACAGCTAAATGACTAAAATGTTACACTTCCAGATCAGCTTCACCTAGATAAACAGTGCAATCAACTAGCCCTAAACGCATCTGCAAGAATGGAGCAATTATTGTTACATAAATCATCACTGACTGCCCATTCCTCAAACATTACGCTTTGTGTAGCCACATCAAGGATAATGTTGTTGAATATCCAAGATGGTCACCTCCTACTAAGCAAAGAGAAAACAGAAAGCCACTTCTTCTATTCCACCTCCTCCCTCTCCGTTGTTTCTGTGTGGCAGTCAGAGAGCATGTAAACAGTATTCCTACTCTCCTCCGGTGTCGTTGGGTTTTCCTCTCCTCTCTGAGACAGACAGACACCCTGACCACGCATGCCCCTGTCAGGAATGTGTTCTGGGACCAGTAAAGACCACTGGAATCTCTCACCCACTGCTGTGGTTTCTGTGGCCTAGCCTGGTGAAAGATATCTCTATCTCTCGCTCTCTGTCTCTCTCGTTTGTCTCTCTGTCTTTCTTTCTTTCTTTCTCCCCCCCCCCCCCCCCCCCCAAATACTCAAAGGCCTGTTTCTCTCAACCAGCCAGCTGGCATTCAGATATGAGAAAGATTGTCCCCCTGGCTCGCTGTGTGGACTTAACGAACACAAACACCCCCTTTCCCTGTCTGTGTTTCCTAGTGGCATGTTACCCACAGACACCAACCTGGAATAGGAACCCATGTTCTCCAGATGCTTTTGGTCACTTCGCACAGATAGCAGTAGTAGACTCATTTAGTAGTAGACACTAGAGGGGTTTGGGAATAGGAGCTTGACAAAGGGAATGGTGGTGACGGTTGGAAAAGCGGTTGTGGTGGTGCCTCCCAAAAGCAACAGTATTCCTGGGAAGGGGATCTTGTGAAAACCGTGTGTGGAGGTCTCAGGGCAGCCAGAGGTAGAGTGGACAGCCCTGGGAACTCACGCCACCATGAAGCAGGGGAGATATAGGAAAGGGATGGGATTACCAGCCTGGAGCAGAGTCTGTCTGGTGTCAATAAAACACCATTCTAGTTTATGTATGTTATTGATTGGGAATGTATTGTTGAGACTGTGAGTGTATGTTAGATGTGTGTATATGTGTGCTTTGTGTGTAAAAGGGCTGACCCCATTTAGTCGACTGGTCGATAGGCTATTGGTCGACCGAGATTTCTTTAGTCAAGCAGTAGTGAAAAAAAACGTCAAATATCATAGTGTACAAGACACCTGTGTGATTCGCGCCTGTCTCAGTGGACTGATCCATTGTGGAGGCCGTGGGGATGGCACAGTCCATCAGTCTAAGACATGCTACTGAAATTATATGTGGTTATATTACATAAGAACAATGGTGCAACACTAATAAAAATAATATTTTATAACAAATGCGCTTTCTCCCGCGTTGGAAAGGGGTCGCTGACCGCGGTTCAGAAACACATTAGTGTGCTGTTGAATTGGCGACTTTTCCTAGACCATGTTGCTATGTGCATAATAACAAAGTTAACCAGCATATTGATGTTGAGAACAATGTGGCGGAGGCAGCAGCAGAATGAGGAGATGAGAAAACAGCCCTCGCCTTATTGTCTGAGAAAAGTGAGGAGAGAGGAAACCCAAACTTAATTAGGTCTATAATCAATAGCCTATATGTTAAATGTGCTTGGCTTTATAAATCAATATATCTACAGAAATAAGACAGATCGTGCTTCTGTTGCCTGTTTGAGTGTTTGTTTAATAGCCTACTGATTCCGTGAGCACCAAGCCTCACACCACGACATGTCAAGTAAACAATTTCACAAATTCTGATGTTTTTAATCTTAGCTTTGCTGTAATAAAGGCTTTTTTCCGTTAGAACAGCCCCTCTGGTATTATTTTTAATTGATTTAGTGTTTACACTGTTCCAAATTGTCCGAAAAATATATAATAATAATTAGTAATAATAATAATATATATAATATAATAATAATATATAATAATAAAAATAATAATGCTCAATTTTCTTGATCTCCTTATTGTTATTATTATTACTATTATTATTATGATCATAACTAATGTCATTATCATTAGAGGCTTAGTATAGCAGCCGTGTATAACCACCATTATAAACTGGGTGGTTTGAGCCCTGAATTCTGATTGGCTGAAAGCCATTGGTATATCAGACCGTATACCACGGGTATGACAAAACATTTAGTTTTACTGTTCCATTACGTTGGTAACCAGTTTATAATAGCAAAAAATATTGAGCCAATTTAATGCAACCCTTGCTGTTAATAGATCGCAAAGCAGCATACAACTGACCTAAACGTTTGGAAATAATAAGTACATTTTCTCATCCATAGCCTTAAAATGCTCACATCTGAAGGCTGAGGGCATTTAGGACGTACTGCGGATCGCTAAAATATCCTAATGATTACACACTTCCTCAATTCAAATATTATGGCGACACTATACCAAAGATGTTGAAATACTGTATCTTCACGCCTAGAATAAAAACCTCCAGGCTTCCGTCATAACTGCCAATTATATATATTTTTTAAAGAATTACAGGGGGAAGTTTGGAAAAAACGAATCCCATCCGAATCGTCCTCTGGAATAACAGACATTCTGGAGTAATAATTACAATGTTCTCTAGTAATAAGTAGAATAAGTATTTGGTCACGTACATGCGATGTCAAGTAAAGAGAGCAAGGGTTGAGGGAATAGGGAATGTTTTTCCTAAACAAATGAGAGATTTCGGTAACAGAACTTTTCAGTCAGAAATGGCTGTAATTATGTTGCAGCTTCAGCAACAGGGACAGCACGATAAACATGTTGATGTTCTGTGGTGGTCGCTGCAGCAGGGAGGAGAGAGAGAACCGGTGCTAGTCACACAGACACACGCTGTCTTTTTGACTTCTTGTTTTCGCAGCGCAGGAAGTCTGAGCCCGGCCCGGCACAATCAAATCAATTGCTGGTCGGACTCCCTCTAATCATTTGTGTGTCTTAATTATTTAATCAAACTGTGTGCTTAAAGCATCAGTCCAGCTCAGTGAATATAGTTGATTTGATTAAAACACATAGGATGTGTCAATATATGGAAAAATACAAGTTTATACATTTGGTCGAAAGAATAGAAGACTCTTGGTCGACGATTATCTTTTTTAGTCGGGGACAGCCCTAGTGTACTCATCACGTGTGTGTGTGTCCTCGCAGGCCAGTATATGTGGCGGCGGTGCGGCCCCAGTCTAAACACATTGTGGTGGTCATCGACCATGGAGTTACCATTACAGAAACACAGCTCCAGATCGCCAGAGATGCTGCCCTCGTCGTCCTCAACTCCATAGACGAACATGACAAGGTGAGGAGCTCTGCTCTGCTCTGATAACCCATCCCTAACTCCCCTCTTTATAGCCTAATTTCCCAAGCCCCCTCTGATACCCTATGACCCCCGACACACTATCAACGTTCTAGATACAACCACCCTTTCACTCCCTCTGAAGCTAAAGCAGACTGTGCATATGCCCCGTGATTACAATCCCAAAAGTAGTTGTTTATGTTGTGTTTGTATGTAGTGCTAACCTGTGTCTGTGCATGTCCTCTTCCCCAGATCTCGATCCTGTCCTCAGCGGAGGCTGTGCGGTCCTGTTCTCTGGACCAGTGCTATAAGAACTATCTGTCTCCTGCCACCAGCGAGACCAAGAGGAAGATGAGCGCCTTCATCAGCAACCTCAAGGCCTCCGACAGCCCTACCCAGCATGCACTGGGCTTCCAGAAGGCCTTCCAGCTCCTCAGGAACACCAGCAACATCACCCGGAAACTCACCAGTAAGAACAGGGCCCCATGGGAAATGCAGTCTTTACAGGCCACTGATGCTACAGGCTTGTTCAATCTATAGGGAATGCTAATCTGTCATTTTTCAACGGATATGTGACAATGAATGTATTTGGAGAAAAACATTTCACACATAAATCTACTTGTAAATCAATGCAGTTAATTTGGTTGAAATGGCTCAATGAATGTGAATCAAGAGATGGAGGATTTGTGAGATGGAGGATTTATGACCAAGGATTTGTTTCTGATCTCTCTCTGTGCTTGTATGTTCCTGTCAGACACAGACATGGTGATCATCTACCTGTCGTCTGGCATCACGTCTCGAGACGCGTCGGAGCATGAGAAGAGAGACACCCTCCGTGTGGTCAGAGAGGAGAACCGCCACCTCAACAACTCAGTCATGATCCTCACCTACGCCCTCATGAATGGTAGGAACCCTCCACCACACACAGTTTGTCTATGATTGTAATCACTCTCCACCACACACAGTTTGTCTATGATTGTAATCACTCTCCACCACACACAGTTTGTCTATGATTGTAATCACTCTCCACCACACACAGTTTGTCTATGATTGTAATCACTCTCCACCACACACAGTTTGTCTATGATTGTAATCACCCTCCACCACACACAGTTTGTCTATGATTGTAATCACTCTCCACCACACACAGTTTGTCTATGATTGTAATCACCCTCCACCACACACAGTTTGTCTATGATTGTAATCACCCTCCACCACACACAGTTTGTCTATGATTGTAATCACCCTCCACCACACACAGTTTGTCTATGATTGTAATCACCCTCCACCACACACAGTTTGTCTATGATTGTAATCACCCTCCACCACACACAGTTTGTCTATGATTGTAATCACTCTCCACCACACACAGTTTGTCTATGATTGTAATCACCCTCCACCACACACAGTTTTTCTATGATTGTAATCACCCTCCACCACACACAGTTTGTCTATGATTGTAATCACCCTCCACCACACACAGTTTGTCTATGATTGTAATCACCCTCCACCACACACAGTTTGTCTATGATTGTAATCACCCTCCACCACACACAGTTTGTCTATGATTGTAATCACCCTCCACCACACACAGTTTGTCTATGATTGTAATCACCCTCCACCACACACAGTTTGTCTATGATTGTAATCACCCTCCACCACACACAGTTTGTCTATGATTGTAATCACCCTCCACCACACACAGTTTGTCTATGATTGTAATCACTCTCCACCACACACAGTTTGTCTATGATTGTAATCACTCTCCACCACACACAGTTTGTCTATGATTGTAATCACCCTCCACCACACACAGTTTGTCTATGATTGTAATCACCCTCCACCACACACAGTTTGTCTATGATTGTAATCACTCTCCACCACACACAGTTTGTCTATGATTGTAATCACCCTCCACCACACACAGTTTGTCTATGATTGTAATCACTCTCCACCACACACAGTTTGTCTATGATTGTAATCACTCTCCACCACACACAGTTTGTCTATGATTGTAATCACCCTCCACCACACACAGTTTGTCTATGATTGTAATCACCCTCCACCACACACAGTTTGTCTATGATTGTAATCACCCTCCAGGAAGGGGGTGGGTGAATGGGGGTGGTGCAGACTGGAGAGGTGCTCAGAAACCTCAAAGGCTTTTTGTTTTTTCCTGTGTGTCTGTGATGCATCCACCTCCCCCTCTCAATTGGCCCTCTCTTCACCTGTCTCCCCTCCCTCCTCCCCTTCTCCTTATCCTTCACTCCATGTCCTACACAGAGACCCCTTCACAGTGCATGCATTAGCCTGGTATTGGCATAGATCATGTTCATTAGGAAATTAAAATGAGGGACCACTGAGAGCGCCTGAGTCTAAAGACTTCAAAGTGGGGGTGGGGGTGGGATTGGGGGGTGTGATGGAGACAGCCGGGGGCCGCTTGTTTAAAAGAGTCCATGTTGAAAAGGATTCAGAAATATATGATCATTTTGAGTTGATTAGCATGACACCCAGAAAGCTTTTGTTGTGTAGCACATTGTGAGCATTTCATAGAGCTCTGTGTGTGTGCCAGATGTAAGCTGATGATTGTTAAAGGTGATCAATGGTATTTTCTCCCACATCAACTCTGTTGGTTGAACTAAGCATGTTTGTGTGTCTGTGTCTGTTTTGTGATGAGATACTACAACTAGAAGGATCAAATGGTTAGGAAGTGAAATCTTCAAGTATGGGCTGTACTGCCAAATCCTTCTAGACTTTCCCCTGGTCTGTGGCTGTCTAATACTACCCAGTCCCTTCTGCCTGATTGTGAACCACAGACCAACTCAATCCATCTAAAATGCTCTTCTCAGACATGAAAAACAGGAGAACGAGTTGAAGATATGCTTTAACTGTAACCAGTAAATCACCCACAGAATCTTTAATGGATTTTACAGAGAATATCATCGGCCAAACGTTCATCTACGGCCATTCCAACTATTACCTCTGATGTCCAGTTTGAATCATCCACAGAATCTTTCGTGGATTTTACAGAGAATATCATCGGCCAAACGTTCATCTACGGCCATTCCAACTATGACCTCTGATGTCCAGTTTGACCCTGCAGTCCACACATACCAGGCTGTATTGACATGGCTGCTTTCATCTCCTGTTGACTCACTACTGTCAATAGTGCATCATTCCCATGTATGCAGCATCCTATTATTATCATCAGACAAGGCCCAAAGCATTAAGGCTTGATCCCTCTTTAATCCAATCAGTGATATGACTGCCATGCATTCCATATTAAACCCTGTCGTAATGCCAAATGTGCCCAGTGACAGCTGTCTGGGCAGCCATGTTGGAGAGGTCATTCTAGGGTGTCCTCTGTTAAAAAGTCAATGAATATTGTAGAGGAAGTTTTCTTACATTGATATCAATACATTGAAGGACCTCCTATCTTTGTGGCTGCTCTACTCTATGCTGCTCTACGCTGCTTTATGCTGCTCTGCTCTATGCTGCTCTATGCTGCTTTATGCTGCTCTGCTCTATGCTGCTCTATGCTGCTCTGCTCTATGCTGCTCTATGCTGCTCTGCTCTATGCTGCTCTGCGCTGCTCTATGCTGCTCTATGCTGCTCTGCTCTATGCTGCTCTGCTCTATGCTGCTCTGCTCTATGCTGCTCTGCGCTGCTCTGTGCTGCTCTATGCTGCTCTATGCTGCTCTATGCTGCTCTGCTCTATGCTGCTCTATGCTGCTCTGCTCTATGCTGCTCTGCGCTGCTCTGCTCTATGCAGCTCTGCGTTGCTCTATGCTGCTCTATGCTGCTCTGCGGTGCTTGACGCTGCTCTATGCTGCTCTACGTGTCATTACCTAAATTGTCTTGTGTCATGTCAATAAACATCAAACATAGAGATGCGGTCAAATATATTAGCACTCTGCACTTTTCAATGGAGCAGAATGTTCTGGTTTCTCTTTTAGGCACCTGCAACTTACCACAGGTGGGATAAATTACACTTGCTGAGAATCACTTGCTTCCAACCAAATTAATTACAATTTAGATTAATTTAACCAGGCCCTTTTTCTACTTTGAAGTGAAAAATCTCAATGTGTACATTTTTATTTTGTATTTTTGGGGGTCTTCTGCAGTTGTAAATCAAACAAATACGTGTGAACACAAAGTTTTTTAAATTTTCTACTTATTTTAGAAGAAATAGTGAATCATTCAATGGTGGCAATATATTTGAACGCATCTGTAAAACATCTGTCTTGCCCTCTTCTTCCTCAACAGAGGGTGTGACGGGTCTGAAGGAGCTAGCGTTCCTGCGTGACCTAGCGGAGCAGAACTCGTTGAAGTACGGCGTCCCGGACCGCTCGGCGCTGCCCGTGGTGAAAGGGAGCATGATGGTCCTGAACCAGCTCAGTAACCTGGAGACCACCGTGGGACGCTTCTACATCAACCTGCCCAACCGCATGATAGACCAGTCCTGCTTCAGCCTGCCCTACCAGGACCCCATAGGAGACGGTGGGTTTAGACACTGATCTAGGACCAGTTGTTCTGTTCTAGTCATTATGGTAAAGGTTAGAGCTGAGGTACAGTGATCTGATCCTAAATCAGTGAGAACGAATAGATGATAGACCTGTCCTGCTTCAGCCTGCCCTACCAGGACCCCATAGGAGACGGTGGGTTCCTAACAACTGGTCCTGGGTCATGGCCGTTATCATGGCCGTTTTTTAGGTTATAGTTGGGACCTAACAACTGGTCTAGGACCAGTTCTGCTCTTATGTCTGCGTAATGGTTAAGGTTAGAGCTAAGGTACAGTGAGCTGCTAAACCTAAATCAGTGGTAAAGAAAATATTATAAACTTGATGAGATTGATTTGGGCTCTTGGTGATCAATCAGTGTGATGTAAAACTATCTGTGTCTTCTCCCTGCAGGTTTCATCATGACGGTGAGCCGGCCCTGTTACTTTGGCAACCTGTTGCTAGGCGTCGTTGGGGTGGACGTGAACTTAGCCTACATTTTAGAGGACGTCACCTACTACCAGGATTCCCTGGCCTCCTACACCTTCCTCATAGACAACAAAGGTACGTCTTATACTAACCCTACCCCCTACACACTAACCCTAACCCTGGCCTCCTATACACTAACCCTACACCCTACCCCCTACACACTAACCCTGGCCTCCTATACACTAACCCTACACCCTACCCCCTACACACTAACCCTAACCCTGGCCTCCTATACACTAACCCTACACCCTACCCCCTACACACTAACCCTGGCCTCCTACACACTAACCCTACACCCTACCCCCTACACACTAACCCTGGCCTCCTATACACTAACCCTACACCCTAACCCCCTACACACTAACCCTAACCCTGGCCTCCTATACACTAACCTACAACCTACCCCCTACACACTAACCCTGGCCTCCTATACACTAACCCCCTAACACACTAACCCTGGCCTCCTACACACTAACCCTACACCCTACCTACACACTAACCCTGGCCTCCTATACACTAACCCTACCCCCTACACACTAACCCTGGCATCCTATACACTAACCCTACCCCCTACACACTAACCCTGGCGTCCTATACATTAACCCTACACCCTACCCCCTGCACACTAACCCTGGCCTCCTATACACTAACCCTACCCCCTACACACTAACCCTGGCCTCCTATACACTAACCCTACACACTAACCCTGGCCTCCTATACACTAACCCTACACCCTACCCCCTACACACTAACCCTGGCCTCCCTAACCTAACCCTAAACACTACCACCTAACCTGCTCATACCTAACCTAACCCCCTACAACAACCTGGCCTCCTATACACTAACCCTACACCCTACCCCTACACACTAACCCTGGCTCCTATCACTATAACCCTACTCCTACACACCTACGCCCCTACACAACCCTACCCCTACACCACTAACCCTGGCCTCCTAAACTAACACTAACCCTACCCCCTACATCCCTACAACACTAACCCTGGCCCTCCTAACACTAACCCTCCTACACCTAACCCACCCCCTCAACACCACTAACCCTGGCCTCCTATACACTAACCCTACCCTACCCTACACACTAACCCTGGCCTCCTATACACTAACCCTACCCCCCTACCACACCTAACCCTGGCCATACACTAACCCTACCTACCCTAACCACCCTGGCCAACCTAACCCTACCTACCCACACAAACCCTGGCCTACCTATATACCAACTAACCCTATACACACCCCTACACACTACCCTCCTGGCCTCCTATCACTAACCCTAACCCTACCCCCTACACACTAACCCTGGCCTCCTATACACTAACCTACCCCCTACACACAACCCTGGCCTCCTATACACTAACCCTACCCCCTACACACTACACCCTACCCCCCCTACCCTCCTCTAACACTAACCCTAACCCCCTACACACTAACCCTGCCTCCTATACACTAACCCTACAACCCCTACAACCCTCCTAACATACCCACTATACCACTACACTAACCCTAACCCCCCTCACACTAACCTAACCCTGGCCTCCTAACACTAACCCTACACCCTACCCCCTACACACTAACCCTAACCCTGGCCTCCTATACCTTCATCATAGACTACAAAGGTACATCCTACACTTTTTCTGCCTGTTCACAAAAGCATTATTTGGCAATTGGTGTGTAGGCTATTTGGCGCACAGAATTATACATTTATGGATTATTATTTTCTCTTTATTCAACTTGCCTGCCACCCACCCGCCCTTCCCATGGATATAACCGCAGGGACAGTGGGTTATGAGTCAATCCGCGCATCACTAGCAGGGACTGGCCCAGGGACACACCTAGAGGCAGGGACTGGGCCAGAGACACACCTAGAGGCAGGGACTGGGCCAGAGACACACCTAGAGGCAGGGACTGGGCCGGAGACACACCTAGAGGCAGGGACTGGGCCGGAGACACACCTAGAGGCAGGGACTGGCCCAGGGACACACCTAGAGGCAGGGACTGGGCCAGAGACACACCTAGAGGCAGGGACTGGGCCAGAGACACACCTAGAGGCAGGGACTGGGGCCAGAGACACACCCAGAGGCAGGGACTGGGCCAGAGACACACCCAGAGGCAGGGACTGGGCCAGAGACACACCTAGAGGCAGGGACTGGGCCAGAGACACACCTAGAGGCAGGGACTGGGCCAGAGACACACCTAGAGGCAGGGACTGGGCCAGAGACACACCTAGAGGCAGGGACTGGGCCAGAGACACACCTAGAGGCAGGGACTGGGCCAGAGACACACCTAGAGGCAGGGACTGGGCCAGAGACACACCTAGAGGCAGGGACTGGGCCATAGACGCACCTAGAGGCAGGGACTGGGCCAGAGACACACCTAGAGGCAGGGACTGGGCCAGAGACACACCTAGAGGCAGGGACTGGCCCAGGGACACACCTAGAGGCAGGGACTGGCCCAGAGACACACCTAGAGGCAGGGACTGGGCCAGAGACACACCTAGAGGCAGGGACTGGGCCAGAGACACACCTAGAGGCAGGGACTGGGCCAGAGACACACCTAGAGGCAGGGACTGGGCCATAGACACACCTAGAGGCAGGGACTGGGCCAGAGACACACCTAGAGGCAGGGACTGGGCCAGAGACACACCTAGAGGCAGGGACTGGCCCAGGGACACACCTAGAGGCAGGGACTGGCCCAGAGACACACCTAGAGGCAGGGACTGGGCCAGAGACACACCTAGAGGCAGGGACTGGGCCAGAGACACACCTAGAGGCAGGGACTGGGCCAGAGACACACCTAGAGGCAGGGACTGGGCCAGAGCTAGGGTTTGTCTCAGTGCTTCCCTGCCACTCTCATGTTATGTTTTCCTTTAGTGTCAACACAGGCTAGCTATACAGTGGGGAGAACAAGTATTTGATACACTGCCGATTTTGCATGTTTTCCTACTTACAAAGCATGTAGAGGTCTGTAATTTTTATCATAGGTACACTTCAACTGTGAGAGACGGAATCTAAAACAGAAATCCAGAAAATCACATTGTATGATTTTTAAGTAATTCATTTGCATTTTATTGCATGACATAAGTATTTGATCACCTACCAACCAGTAAGAATTCCGGCTCTCACAGACCTGTTAGTTTTTCTTTAAGAAGCCCTCCTGTTCTCCACTCATTACCTGTATTAACTGCACCTGTTTGAACTCGTTACCTGTATAAAAGACACCTGTCCACACACTCAATCAAACAGACTCCAACCTCTCCACAATGGCCAAGACCAGAGAGCTGTGTAAGGACATCAGGGATAAAATTGTAGACCTGCACAAGGCTGGGATGGGCTACAGGACAATAGGCAAGCAGCTTGGTGAGAAGGCAACAACTGTTGGCGCAATTATTAGAAAATGGAAGAAGTTCAAGATGACGGTCAATCACTCTCGGTCTGGGGCTCCATGCAAGATCTCACCTCGTGGGGCATCAATGATCATGAGGAAGGTGAGGGATCAGCCCAAAACTACACGGCAGGACCTGGTCAATGACCTGAAGAGAGCTGGGACCACAGTCTCAAAGAAAACCATTAGTAACACACTACGCCGTCATGGATTAAAATCCTGCAGCGCACGCAAGGTCCCCCTGCTCAAGCCAGCGCATGTCCAGGCCCGTCTGAAGTTTGCCAATGACCATCTGGATGATCCAGAGGAGGAATGGGAGAAGGTCATGTGGTCTGATGAGACAAAAATAGAGCTTTTTGGTCTAAACTCCACTCGCCGTGTTTGGAGGAAGAAGAAGGATGAGTACAACCCCAAGAACACCATCCCAACCGTGAAGCATGGAGGTGGAAACATCATTCTTTGGGGATGCTTTTCTGCAAGAGGACAGGACGACTGAACCGTATTGAGGGGAGGATGGATGGGGCCATGTATCGCGAGATCTTGGCCAACAACCTCCTTCCCTCAGTAAGAGCATTGAAGATGGGTCGTGGCTGGGTCTTCCAGCATGACAACGACCCGAAACACACAGCCAGGGCAACTAAGGAGTGGCTCCGTAAGAAGCATCTCAAGGTCCTGGAGTGGCCTAGCCAGTCTCCAGACCTGAACCCAATAGAAAATCTTTGGAGGGAGCTGAAAGTCCGTATTGCCCAGCGACAGCCCCGAAACCTGAAGGATCTGGAGAAGGTCTGTATGGAGGAGTGGGCCAAAATCCCTGCTGCAGTGTGTGCAAACCTGGTCAAGACCTACAGGAAACGTATGATCTCTGTAATTGCAAACAAAGGTTTCTGTACCAAATATTAAGTTCTGCTTTTCTGATGTATCAAATACTTATGTCATGCAATAAAATGCAAATTAATTACTTAAAAATCATACAATGTGATTTTCTGGATTTCATAGGTACACTTCAACTGTCTCTCACAGTTGAAGTGTACCTATGATAAAAATTACAGACCTCTACATGCTTTGTAAGTAGGGAAACCTGCAAAATCGGCAGTGTATCAAATACTTGTTCTCCCCACTGTATTTAAGATGTTAAGGTTAAAAATAAAATAAAAAAATTTAAATAAAAGGTTTTCAAGTTAAACAGGCCATGTTCAGACGTGTGTGTTGACTGGGTTATTATGAAACTTTGTCAGACTAGCAGTATAGCCTCTGTACTCCCTAGAGGGGTTTTGGGAAACAATCCGAATGGTTGGCAGTAATGTTATTGTAATGAGTCTGTTGTCAGATGACAGGTTGTTACTGCACGGTGCTTATTACACTGTCAAACCATGATTAATGAGTATTAAAGTCGTTAGGTGTGTTGTGACTAATAGGCCACTCTCAATTAGACAGCAGATAAACAGTTGAGTGGAGAGTAGACTGCTGCTGTAATGTTAATGGACTGTTGTAGTATGGAGGTAATGTGGTCAGAGATACCTTGTCGTTAGAGAAAAGGGATTCTCCTCGCTCTCGCTCGCTCTCTCTCTCTCACTTTGCCCTCCTTAAAATACACCCCCCCTGTCTCTCCCTCCTTCCCTCCTCCCTCGTAAGGGCTTTCAATCTCCCATAGCTTACTATTAGTGCTGCTCTGGTGCCTGCCTGAATACAGGACCACAGTAGTAGGGGTCTAGGGGTGATCTGGCCTCACCCTGCCCAGGGAGCAGTAGCCCGTCCCTGGGGTGAGGTGTGGTCAAGGCCCCTGGGTGCTGGAGGCTCCATGAAAGGCTGCTCCTGTGAAGAGCCCTTGATGGCATTGACTGATGATGCGTGTTCTGTTCTGATGATGTGGATATTTTTGGTTTCCTAGGTTACACCCTGATGCACCCGTCCCTCACACGGCCCTACCTGATGACAGAGCCTCCCCTCCACACTGACATCATCCACTATGAGAACATCCCTGGGTTCCCCGTGGTACGGGACAACATACTCCAGTGAGTTAGGGTCAAGGCTCAGAGGGTTTCACCAGTATGTATCCATGCTGGAAACTCAAGGCAGACTAGTAATGTAGTAAGATGTGTTTTCATCCACTCTCTTTGTCATTGCAATCTTTGTTTACATAATGTAATCTGCATTGCACGCTCTTGTGTTGCTAACGTTAACCCTCCTACTTCCTGTCCCTCCCTCCAGTCTTCCCCTGGGTAGTCAGGTGATAGCTGTGCCCACCAACTCCTCTCTGTCCTGGCACACCAACCGCCTCCGAGACCCCAGCAAGGAGGCCTACAACGTCAGCTACACATGGAAACTGGTGCGATGCACTGCTGTTGCTGTCTGTCACTCTGTCTGTCTGTCTGTTTGTGACTCTGTATTTCTCCTCTCTAGATCGAGATCCCTTTTTTCCCCCTCTTCCTCTCCCCTCTGTCCCTCTCTCACCCCCTCTCTCCATAACACAACAAGCCAGCAATTCAGTATTGCATCTTCATCTTATTTTTCCCTCTCTCCCTCTTCCTCTGTCACGCCATCTCCCTCAGTCACAGTGGTTCCCACCCAACACTGTCACCTCCAATCTGTCACCTTTAGAAAAACCCAGTGCCCCCCCCCCCCCCCCCCAGCCACTATGTGTCATGTTTTAGGAAAAATAGGGCGGACAGCAAAAACCTCATCTTAAAAGTGGATTTTTTTGCTTGAGAAACAGAGTTCACACATCACTTATTCTATGACCTATGACTAGTTTCTTCTACCCAGCTGTCTCTATGTTGTTGTCAAGTTCAGCATTAAAATGGTAACTTGGCTTAGCAAAGTCTTGTTGCACCAGATCTGCTGAAGGGCTCTGGTGTGTTTCAGTGTTTTGCCACACCAGCCCACTCTCTCCTGTCCTGTCCTGTCCTAGCCTCCCAGCCAGATCCACTCAACATGTGTAATTTAAAGGTCCAATGCAGCTGTTTTTATCTCGATATCAAATCATTTCTGGGTAACAATTAAGTACGTTACTGTGACTGTTTTCAATTCAAATGGTCAAAAAGAAACAAAAATAGCTTATTAGCAAAGAGCAATTTCTCAAGCAAGAATTTTGCTAGGACTGTCTGGGAAAACTGAAAACTAGCTGTTATTGGCAGAGGTTTGGAACTCTTATTCTTATTGGTCTATTAACTAATTAGGCCTAAACTCTATCCCACCAAAACAGGCAGACATTTTAGGCGTTCTTTTCAAACAGCTCTTACACTAAAACGGTATTATCATCATTTTCACAGTATTATTTCAACCTCAGTGTGAAAATATAAATAAAACACAGGAAAATCATGGTTTTGACTGCAATGGGCCTTTAAAATCATTGGCGCCGTCATTATGCACAGCACATTTATCAGCACCAGTCAGCAGTGCTGGGAAAGGACGGCCTGCGTGTGTGTGTGCACGTGCGTGCGCTCACGCGATGGGTTAATAAAACACTCGCTGTGACGTCTGAAAGTAAACACACTGGAAAAGAAGGCAGACAGGAGCAGGGAGTAGGAGTGTGTGTAGTGTCACTGTCGGAGCTCAGGAGTTTCTAAACCTCAACTCCCCATTACAAGTTATGATCAGTCATGTCTTATCAATGATTGTGAAAATCTAGTAAAATGTCTCTAGCTGTGTGTATGCTCTAAGTAGAAGCTCCTACACAAAACATCCATTCTCTTCTCCCTCAATCCCTCTCCCTTCCACCCAGTGCCTGTACCCCAGGGATACTCATTAACACACATATAAATCCCATCCTCTCCCCTCCCCAGGTGCAGGACAAGGCGTTCATCCTGTGCATAGTGTACGTCCAGCCAGAGATCCCTGTGAAACACCTGAAGAACCTGAACACTGCTCCCAGCTCCAAGCTGCTCTATCATCGCCTAGACCTGCTGGGACAGCCCAGCTCCTGTCTGCACTTCAAACAGCTGGCCACCGTTGGTAAGACATGGGGCCACACAGGCAATGACTGTGAGAGAGGAACTAGGCTAGAGGCAGAGAATTTATTCATTTAGTCTCTATTTTCCTCTCTCTGTCTGTCTGGCTTTCTGTCGCTCTCGCTCTCTCTCTCGCTCTCTGTCTGTCTGGCTCTCTGGCTCTGTCTGGCTCTTGGTTCTCTCTCTCTCTCTGTCTGTCTGGCTCTCTGTCTCTGTCTGTCTGGCTCTGTCTCTCTCTCTCTCTCTCTCTCTCTCTGTCTGGCTCTCTGTCTCTCTCTCGCTCTCTCTCTGTCTGTCTGGCTCTCTGTCTGGCTCTCTCTCTCTGTCTCTTTCTCTGTCTCTCTGTCTGTCTGTCTCTCTGTCTCTCTCTCGCTCTCTCTCTGTCTGTCTGGCTCTCTGTCTGGCTCTCTGTCTCTCTGTCTCTTTCTCTGTCTCTCTCTCTCAGAGAGTCCTACAGTGATGCTGTCTGCAGGGAGTTTCTCCTCGCCCTACGAACACCTCAGCCAACCAGAGACCAAACGCATGGTGGAACACTACACTGCCTACCTCAGTGATAACACACGCCTCATAGCCAACCCTGGACTCAAGGTACACTCACACACTCACACAATCACATTTGATTGACCGTAACGACAGTCATTAACACAGAGAAGCCAAACTAATATCAAACACGTATCTTCTGAAAAGACCACACTAGCAAAACACCACCAAAAGAAAGACAGGTCTCTTAGCTTCACTGCTTTCTGTGTCTTTTAGGAGAAGCTAGAGAAAAGCTCCATGTTTTTAGCAGCCTGTGTGCACAGCATTTTTAGCCCCTCTCTGTACGTGGTGAGAGAGTGGGGGAGAGACTGAGAGACTCTCAGTAAAGGGTGAGGGAGATCCTGAGCTGGGCCTACCCTACAGCTTAGAGAGAGCTCAGCTCTTCTTCCCTGTCTTAAAGGAACCCTGCTATATCCCTCTCTCTCTCCATCTAGTCGTCGGTCAGGAACGAGGTGATGGCGACCAGTCACGTCACAGATGAATGGATGACACTCATGGAGATGAGTAGCCTCAACTGCTACATTGTTCGCCGTTACATAGCAACGCCCAATGGGGTGCTTCGGATTTACCCCGGCTCACTCATGGACAAAGCCTTCGATCCGACCCGGAGACAATGGTGAGGTTAATTTAGCGGTGTGTGGGGGGTAGAGAGTGATGGAAAGGTGAGTCCTGCAAAACAGTGTTTTGGATCGGCTTAGTGCATAGCTTTCTCTGTTCATGGTCTGAATGATTCACTTTCTATGGAAAAGTTTTGAGTTCTACTAAATCCTTCATGACACTTTTCATTTTGTATGGCAGTCTAGAGTAGTCAGATATATTTTCACCTTGGAATGTTTTAGTATAAATGTTTCAGTCAGGATCTGTTACTTTTCTAGAATAAACATTGTTTTTTAGTTTTTTTCCCCCAGTCTTTAGTTAGTAGACAGTATCCACAGGTATTGTCAGGGAATTAGTATGTTGTGTCAAGGCGTTTGTTTTTGTTTCCCATCACACTGACCATGCTCTCTAACCTCTAACCTCTGACCTCTGATCCAAACAGGTACCAGCACGCGGTGGCGAACCCAGGCCTCATCACCTTCACCGGGCCTTACCTGGATGTGGGCGGGGCCGGATACGTGGTCACCATCAGCCACACCATCCACGCCTCCAGGTACTCTAGGAGGACACACACACAATCTTCCTCACCATTCACGCCCTAGGCTCTGATTGGAAGAAACCCAGTTGGACTGTATCCATGTCACACAGAGTGATGGTGATACACCAGTCTAGTTATCAGGGCAACCTGATAAACACTAAGAGATTTTCATTTGAGACTGTTGATGAATTTGAAACGTTCTGTTTCTTTAGTTTTTTTAATGATACAATGCTAAGCTCTTCTGTTTTTTTCATAACTGGCATTTCATTATATATGCCAATATAGCAAATACTTTTATCCAAAGCGACTTAGTCATGCGTGCATACATTCATTGTATGGGTGGCAGCAGTAGGAATCAAATCCATGACCCTTGGGGTTGTAACCGACATGCTCTACCGACTGAGCCACATAAGACCATTATCTCAAGCAATACATAGAGCAAAACATGAAGAAGTAGTGGGAAATAGACAGACTAATTTGATCTGCAAGTGTAATGGCCCTGGCAGTCTCCTGTTTGTGCCTGCTGACTACAGTTACAACGTTACTGGTTAATCTCAGAGGAGGCTGTAGACTTGAGGCAATCACCAACAACTGGATTATGATATAATACACACACAGCTCTGATAAGGCAGGCTCAGTGTGTTTGGTGGTTCTGGCCCAGTGAGCATGTCCTGTGGCCTCTGTAGTATGCCTAGACGCTGCTCTCAAATAAGGCTCCCAAGAGCTGCGCGAACATGCCTTTATACCAGAGCATGGTTTTGGGAAGGGAAGGTAGCTAGAGAATATGAAATGTGCACTGTTGAATAATGTTCTCTCCTCTGCTCTCTCTGTGTAGTTCTCAGATGGCCTCAGGGTATGCAGTAGCAGTGATGGGGATAGACTTCACACTGCGTTACTTCTACAAGGTTCTGCTGGACCTGCTACCCATCTGCAATCAGGACAAGGGCAACAAGATCCGGTATGTCTTTCTTTGAGGGTCCTTCTCTCTTGTTATAGGGGTTTGTGACTATGACTGATAGGGATCCTGGCACATTCACTAGTCCTCCAACATCCCAGCATGCCCTCTGCTAAGTGGGAGAAACCAAAGAGAGAGACTCAAGGAAGTTTTCTGTTGTGGTCCAGAAATAAACTATGCTGGTTACAAAGAAGGTGAGAGGGGGAGAGGGGGGAGAGGGAGAAGGGGAGAGGGAGAAGGGGAGAGGGAGGGAGGGGGAGTCAAAAGAAGATAAACTGATTATAATTACATTCCAGAAACATCCTGTTATGCTAGATGCTGCTGCTACATTATTTTTCTCGTTTCACTCTTTGTCTCCCCTCCCTCCCTCCAGTATCTCTCTCTGTACCCCTAATCTATCTCTCCCTCCCTCTCCCCCTTCTCTCTCCAGTCCTCTCCCCCTTTCTTTCTCTCGCTCCCCCCGTCTCTCTCTCTCTCTCTCTCTCTCTCTCTCTCTCTGTCTGACAGTCTTCAGTGGTTCATGTTTAACTGGAGGAAGGGGATGGAGGTGGGTTGGGGTTGAATGGTTTTCTATCATGCAGGATGGGGTAATATGGGACAATACACAGAGCTGAGCTGGAGCCTGGCCCATGTGGTGCTCTTAACCCTCAGAACTTGCTCTCTCTCCCTGTAACACCACCCCCCGTCTCTCCTGACTTAACACTGCTCTCTGCCCTCCACATCCACTGTAATCGCTCTGGCTCTCTCCCTCTCAACAGCAAGTCTGAGCTTCGGGTTCTGTTGTGTTTAAATCAGATGGATTTCAGTGGGCATGTGTTTAAGTATTTAAGTGTATTAAGTTAAATTGATTGTACTGTTCAGTAAAATGAATAATACTTCAACTGGATTTTCTCTCTCTGTCTCTCCATCTCTCGCTCTCTCGGTCTCGATCTCTCCGTCACTCTCTCTGTCGCTTTCTTGCTGTCTCTCTCTCTAGGTGTTTCATCATGGAGGACAGGGGTTACTTGGTGGCCCACCCCACCCTCATCGACCCTAAAGGTCACGCCCCAGCCGAGCGGCAGCACATCACACACAAGGAACCACTGGTGGCCAACGACATCCTGAACCATCCTAACTTTGTCAAGAAGAACCTGTGCAACAGCTTCAGCGACCGCACGGTCCAGCGTTTCTACAAGTTCAACACCAGCATCATTGTGAGTAGGGGCTCAGAGATAAGACTTTGGACAGCAGGGATTTTCTCACTCTCTGTCTCTCTCTCCCTGTCTCTCTCTCCCTGTCTCTCTCTCCCTGTCTCTCTCCCTGTCTCTCTCGCTCTGTCTCTCTCTCTGTCTCTCTCTGTCTGTCTTTCTCTCTCCGTCTCTCGCTCTGTCTCTCTCTCTGTCTGTCTTTCTCTCTCTGTCTCTCTCTCTGTCTGTCTTTCTCTCTCCGTCTCTCGCTCTGTCTCTCTCTCTGTCTGTCTTTCTCTCTCTGTCTCTCTCGGCCCCAATATGACCCTGCTGTCCAAAGTCTGACAGCCCCTGTGTCACAAGATCCACCATTTTGGATACAGTTTGACACTGACTGAGTAAATTTGACAGGTAGTGTCCTCTCGCTTTGTTGCCCTCAGAAAACCATTTTCCCAGGACAGCTTTTATTATTGTCCATCAGTATTATAGCCCCACCACGTGGTGAGAAATTGTATAGCAGCCTCAATGAGCTTTACTCAAATGACCCAAGTGCTTCCTTTCTTTGTAGAGCCATTGATAAACCATAGTCTAGTACCATGTTTTCTCTAATACATAGTATTTTGCATTTTTTAAACAAACCCAAAGAAGCTTGACAACACTCCTCCTGTCTCTCCTGATGGTGACCTGACTAACCTGGTCCACGGCTCCATGTACTGTCTGATAAACCCAATGATGTATATAAACCCTGGATTGCTGATGCTAAGTATTGGCCAATGAGAGGCTCTGAAGCCAGCGGTCGTCCATATTGGCACTCCTCAGAAATGCAGACCTCCATAGGAATGAATGGAATTCTACAGTATTTCATTTAAATGTTTCAAGGACAAAATTACACACATTCTTTTATTAGTATTTTTATGTTTAGCTCACATAATACAATTTAAAAGTATTCATTAAGGTGTCTGTAATATAATAAACATGGCATAAACAAATTTAAACATGAATAAATGCATTTCTATAGCTTCCAAAATATTTTTTACAATGGTGGGGGAGTGCCAAGATGGAGGCAAGGCGGCTTCAAAACAGCGCCCCGTTAGTCATCTAGTGTATAAATATAAATCATTGGATAAACCCTTGTCTAGTAACATATCTCACTATGTTCCCTCTCTCGCTCTCGATCCCTCTTCCTTCACAGGGTGATCTGACTAACCTGGTCCACGGGAGCCACTGCTCCAAGTACCGTCTGACCCGTATCCCTGGCACCAACGCTTTCGCTGGCATCGTCAATGAGACGTGTGATTCGCTGGCTTTCTGTGCCTGTAGCACCGTCGACCGCCTCTGTCTCAACTGTCACAGGTCAGATATACAGTCACAGGAGTTATAGAGTTACATTGGAAATAAGATGGTGTTTTATTATTTCTATTCAAGAACTCAATTAATTCTACGAGGTATCTGTTTAACTTGCTGTATTAAAAGGGGTGAATATTTGCGTCACAAAGTTCATTCATAGTACTTTTGTTGGTTTTCAGTCATAACTTTCATGGATCTATATTCTTACAACATGGCTGTAACTGTTGTCCATGTGTTGTACAGGATGGAGCAGAATGAGTGTGAGTGTCCATGTGAGTGCCCCCTGGAGGTCAACGAGTGTACTGGCAACCTCACCTACGCTGAGAACAGGTGAGTCAAGAACCACGATAAACATCCTGCATGTTAAAAAAGCCCACATTTTTGTTTTGTTTGTGTGTTTAGATGTGTATTGCTCTACTGTAATGTAGATGTGTGTGGGTGTCTGTGTATTTGAGTGTGTGTACCCGCATCTGTACTGAAGCCTTTTCTATAGTGCCCACAGGAAGTGATGGACTCGGTCATGCAGCTCACTGTCTCATCATGCCATTCCTCAGAAACACCTGTGTCCTCAGTCAGCTATTCAACTTTGACTAGCATTAACCTCTTAAGGATCTGACCCTTTTTTTCAATTTTCGCCTAAAATGACACCCAAATATAACTGCCTGTAGCTCAGGACCTGAAGCAAGGATATGCATATTCTTGATACCATTTGAAAGGAAACACTTTGAAGTTTGTGGAAATGTGAAATTAATGCAGGAGAATATAACACATTTGATCTGGTAAAAAATAATACAAACAAAAAAACATGCGTTTTCTATTTATTTTTTTGTTCCATCATCTTTGAAATGCAAGAGAAAGACCACAATATAATGTTGCAGTTTAGGCGCAATTTAGAATTTGGCCACTAGACGGCAGCAGTGTGTGCGCAAAGTTTCAGATTGATCAAGTGAAGCATTGCAATACTGGACTATTTTGTATCAAGTCTGCCCAAATGTGCCGAATTGGTCAACTGATAAATTTTCAAGTACATAACTATAGAGAACATACAAAAATGATATGGTAATACAAAATGTAAGTTTACACACTCCCAGGAATGTCATACATGATGGATCATTAGGTTATACACTAACATTCACACAACTAGACAGCAGGGGTTCAAACTATAGAACCCAGTTCCTACATTTGAATATAAAAATGGATTTTATCAAACAAAACTATGCTACATTTTATCTCTGGGACCCTTAGGATGACAAATCAGAGCAAGATTACTGAATGTAAGTACATTCAGAGGTGAATGTATCAAACCAGTTGCCGTGATAGGTTTTTTGTTGTTGTGCACTCTCCTCAAACAATAGCATGGTATTTTTTTCACTGTAATAGCTACTGTAAATTGGACAGTGCAGTTAGATTAACAAGAATGTAAGCTTTCTTCCCATATAAGACATGTCTATGTCCTGGAAAGTTTGCTGTTACTTACAACAGTCATGCTATGTTAGCTCAACCGTCCCTTATACGGGACACAGATCCCGTAGAGGTTAACAACAACTGTCTGTCTGGCTAAGGCTCTTTGTGAGAGGAGAGGGCGGGTGGGAGGATAGAGGGATGCTAGAGAAAAGATTGTCCACAAAGCTGCTGTCAGACTGCAGTCATGCATTCATGTAGTGTTCACTCTGTTGTGGTTGATTGAGGTCTTTTCATGTAATGCTAATTACTGCCTAATTTGAAACTGGGACATTATCGTTGGTTAGTCATTACCTCCTTGATTCAGTGTGGTGACATGTGTCTCTCATTTGAACTGTGTTTGTCATTGTTGTAGTCTGACCGTGTGGTCATGTTCATCACTATGGTCTGACCGTGTTTGTGGTTGTATTCAACAGGAACCCCAGCTGTGAGGTGCACCAGGAGCCCCTGTCTCTGACGGTGATGGACTCCAGTCTGCAGGACACCCTGCCCCAGTGTATCAACACCCGCTGCAGCCAGCGCTTCACTAGCAGGTAGAGGACAGCTACCGCCCACAGCTACCGCCCACAGCTACCGCACACAGCTACCGGCTACGGCCCACAGGCCACAGCTACAGCCCACAGCTACCGCCCACAGCTACCGCCCACGGCTACCGCCCACAGCCACAGGCTACGGCCCACAGCCACAGGCTACAGCCCACAGCTATAGCCCACAGGCTACCGCCGACAGCTACCGCCCACAGCCACAGGCTACAGCCCACAGCTATAGCCCACAGGCTACCGCCCACAGCTACTGCCCACAGCACCTCCCTGGGGGAACGACAGTGTGAAGAAATACTGTACTGGATAATAAACTTCTTATTTTAGACCACACCTCTGTCATCTCTCAAACTGGAGTTTAATTAAAACATGTAGTGATGTGTATATACTGATTTAGAAGAGCAAAACAAGTTTCAGATCACAACACATTTCCAAAATACATTTGCTGAGATTTACTGTGAAGAAAATCCCTTAAATTGTATGTTAGAGTCTTGACCATGACTGTACCTCTTACCTTTACTCTGTGATCCCCAGTGACTGTTTTGGCGTGTTGGACTGTGAATGGTGTATGGTGGACAATGATGGGAAGACCCACCTGGAAAAACCTTACTGTGCCCTGCAGAAGGAATGCTTCGGGGGCATCCTCGGGGCCAAGAGCCCTTACATGGACGGCATGGGGATGTTGGGTGAGTCTACTCAGTCCTTATTGTCACAAGGTCATGCAAACAGAACAGGGTAGTGGGCTTGATTTCCCACAGCTATGTCCAGAGCAATTTATTTAGTGAGTTAGGACCAGAGCAATTTATTTAGAGAGTTAGGACCAGAGCAATTTATTTAGAGAGTTAGGACCAGAGCAATTTATTTAGAGAGTTAGGACCAGAGCAATTTATTTAGAGAGTTAGGACCAGAGCAATTTATTTAGAGAGTTAGGACCAGAGCAATTTATTTAGAGAGTTAGGACCAGAGCAATTTATTTAGAGAGTTAGGACCAGAGCAATTTATTTAGAGAGTTAGGACCAGAGCAATTTATTTAGAGAAGCCAACTTGTAGAATTTGTAATATTGTTCTAATTCTAAACATTCAGTTACACAGTATTCCCCATGTAATGTTAATGGGGAGCTAACATGAAACCGCATTGGCCCAACTCTCTATTGAGGTTTCTGCATTCTGATGCATTGACATGACCCTACAACATTCTATGGCGGCCATGTTAGCTCACCATTAACATTACATGGGGAATATTTAAACAATGCTGTGTAACTGAATGTCTAGAATTAGAACAATATTACAAATTCGACAAATTGGCCCAACTCTCTAAATACATAGCTCTGCCTATGTCATAGTCCTCCTAGAATAATATTTGGTTAACATAATAGATGTAATTTATTTAACTTCCACTCTCTCTCCCTCCTCCCCCTGCTCTCCCCTCCCTCCTTCCAGATGAGGAGGTGGCATCTCTGAACATGATTCGGAGTGCCCCGGTAGGGCCGGTTGCCGGGGGGATTATGGGCTGTATCATGGTGCTGGTGTTGGCTGTCTACGCCTACAGACACCAGATCCACCGGCGCTCACACCAACACATGTCCCCTCTGGCTGCACAGGGTAAGACACCTCGACATACTGGAGATGAATGTTACCTAGAACAACTGACTATGGAAATACAGCTAATTAGTGCATGCAAGTTGGACAACATCGGTGACACAAGTAGCCTCTGATTTAAGTTCTCAGAGAAATCTCAGTGCTATTAATAGGACATGTTATTGACATTTAAAACCACTTTAGTGTCTTAGTGTGTTATGAAAGTACTCAAACTCAGACAGTAATTGCCCCTATAATTGCCTCTGTTGTCTGACAATCAGGTCTTAGTTTTGATAATGAAAGCTGTTGCTAGAGCTGTGGGGATGATTTAATTAACTAAAGCCCTGGACTCAATGGCTGACCTGCGCTACAGACAGCAGCATTGCCTTTCCCTAATGAGACCATAAACACTCGTTGTTAACTCTGACAAGAGATACATGAAAGAAATCTCTTACAATAATACTTTCCCTCTCTCCTTTCTGCAGAGATGTCAGTGCGGATGTCTAACCTGGATAATGAGCGAGATGAGGACAGTCATGAAGACAGGGGAATCAGTAAGTACTGCAGGACAATTAGTATCAGTGTACTGTAAGACCATTACCTTGACTTGACCCTGTGTTTTATTCCTTGTATTAAACCTAGATGTTTTCCTGTCCCGTCCTGCAGTCAGCAACACACGGTTTATCGCCGCGGTGATCGAGAGACACACCCACAGTCCCGAGCGCAGGAGGAGGTACTGGGGACGCTCAGGGACAGAGAGTGACCACGGTAAGACCAGAAGATGACCCCAGAGGAAACAGGCCTCTGTTCTGCTCTTAAAACCACACATTGTATGGTTGAGAGGGAGGAGAGTAGTATAACTCTGTGTAGAACCACCGGAGATGAGACTCTAGCTAACACTGCTAGTGTAACTACTGATCATAGAGGAAAGTGAAGGAGAGGAGGAAATGGATGCAGTGGAGAAATACAGAGAGAGTGCAAGAAAGAGGGCGGAGGCGTTTCAGGGCAAAAGCGTATTGGCTCTGTTCCTCAGCTCAGTCAGAGCTGTCCTTCCACAGTCCACACACTCACACAGCTGCTCTACTCTCTGGACACACACTCACACAGCTGCTCTACTCTCTGGACACACACTCAGTCAGAGGGGTCCTTCCACAGTCCACACACTCACACAGCTGCTCTACTCTCTGGACACACACTCAGTCAGAGGTGTCCTTCCACAGTCCACACACTCACACAGCTGCTCTACTCTCTGGACACACACTCAGTCAGAGGTGTCCTTCCACAGTCCACACACTCACACAGCTGCTCTACTCTCTGGACACACACTCAGTCACTGAGTGAAGGATGTTGTCTAACAGCCTGCAGGCTAACAGACATCCAGGTATGGGCTTTATTAATACAACCTTTCTCTGTGTATTATGTCCAAGTTATTACCCTGTTTCAGGCCCCGTCTCCACGGTTGCGCACTGTTCATGACCTTTTAACTGAGATTACTTTTCTCACCTCTTGAACTACTCTGAAAACGGATGACAAATAGCAATAGCACTGTTTGAAATGACCTCTCATCAATAGATGGAAGGAGTTGAGCAGAGGATAGGAGAGAGGAGCTATGCAGTCAGTGCTGCTGACATTGGCATATTTCCTCTCCTCCGGATCCCATTGAAGTTCTCCCCATAGTTCTCTCTGACAGAATTAGAGAACATGTCAAAAGGCCAAATGACCTTCAGAAGCTCTACTAGCCAGGTTATATCAGTACCTCTTTTAATTTTATTTTTTCTTAGGGGGTAGATCAGCTTTAATATTGCAGATGGATTGTAACTTCCATCAATGTAATTGTCTGCATCACTTCCAATCCCCATTATGTTTTTTTCTCTCTCGCATATATATATATATATATATATATATATATATATATATATATACAGTGAGGGAAAAAAGTATTTGATCCCCTGCTGATTTTGTACGTTTGCCCACTGACAAAGAAATGATCAGTCTTTAATTTTAATGGTAGGTTTATTTGAACAGTGAGAGACAGAATAACAACAACAAAATCCAAAAACACGCATGTCAAAAATGTTATAAATTGATTTGCATTTTAATGAGGGAAATAAGTATTTGACCCCTCTGCAAAACATGACTTAGTACTTGGTGGCAAAACCTTTGTTGGCAATCACAGAGGTCAGATGTTTCTTGTAGTTGGCCACCAGGTTTGCACACATCTCAGGAGGGATTTTGTCCCACTCCTCTTTGCAGATCTTCTCCAAGTCATTAAGGTTTCGAGGCTGATGTTTGTCAACTCGAACCTTCAGCTCCCTCCACAGATTTTCTATGGGATTAAGGTCTGGAGACTGGCTAGGCCACTCCAGGACCTTAATGTGCTTCTTCTTGAGCCAGTCCTTTGTTGCCTTGGCCGTGTGTTTTGGGTCATTGTCATGCTGGAATACCCATCCACGACCCATTTTCAATGTCCTGGCTGAGGGAAGGAGGTTCTCACCCAAGATTTGACGGTACATGGCCCCGTCCATCGTCCCTTTGATGCGGTGAAGTTGTCCTGTCGCCTTAGCAGAAAAACACCCCCAAAACATGGAGGTTTCCACCTCCATGTTTGACGGTGGGGAGGGTGTTCTTGGGGTCATAGGCAGCATTCCTCCTCCTCCAAACACGGCGAGTTGAGTTGATGCCAAAGAGCTCAATTTTGGTCTCATCTGACCACAACACTTTCACCCAGTTCTCCTCTGAATCATTCAGATGTTCATTGGCAAACTTCAGACGGCCCTGTATATGTGCTTTCTTGAGCAGGGGGACCTTGCGGGCGCTGCAGGATTTCAGTCCTTCACGGCGTAGTGTGTTACCAATTGTTTTCTTGGTGACTATGGTCCCAGCTGCCTTGAGATCATTGACAAGATCCTCCCGTGTAGTTCTGGGCTGATTCCTCACCATTCTCATGTTCATTGCAACTCCACGAGGTGAGATCTTGCATGGAGCCCCAGGCCGAGGGAGATTGGCAGTTATTTTGTGTTTGTTCCATTTGCGAATAATCGCACCAACTGTTGTCACCTTCTCACCAAGCTGCTTGGCGATGGTCTTGTAGCCCATTCCAGCCTTGTGTAGGTCTACAATCTTGTCCCTGACATCCTTGGAGAGCTCTTTGGTCTTGTCCATGGTGGAGAGTTTGGAATCTGATTGATTGATTGCTTCTGTGGACAGGTGTCTTTTATACAGGTAACAAGCTGAGATTAGGAGCACTCCCTTTAAGAGTGTGCTCCTAATCTCAGCTCGTTACCTGTATAAAAGACACCTGGGAGCCAGAAATCTTTCTGATTGAGAGGGGGTCAAATACTTATTTCCCTCATTAAAATGCAAATCAATTTATAAAAATTTTGACATGCGTTTTTCTGGATTTTTTTGTTGTTATTCTGTCTCTCACTGTTCAAATAAACCTACCATTAAAATTATAGACTGATCATTTCTTTGTCAGTGGGCATACTTTTTTCCCTCACTGTGTATATATATATATATATATATATATATATATATATATATATATATATATATATATATATATATACATACATACATACATGCATACATACATGCATACATACATACATACATACATACATACATACATACATACATACATACATACATACATACATACATACATACATACATACATACATACATATACATTTGCTTTAAAAAAAATATATTTCCCTTTATTACTTTCCAACCCCACCACCCCTTCCCTAATTGGATACAGTCCTGTGTAGCTCAGTTGGTAGAGCATGGCGCTTGCAACGCCAGGGTTGTGGGTTCGATTCCCACGGGGGACCAGTATGAAAAAATGTATGCACTCACTAACTGTAAGTTGCTCTGGATAAGAGCGTCTGCAAAATGACTAAAATGTCAAATGTAAACATGTAAACTAGTGAACAACAATGCTTATACATTTCATGGACACAGCCAATCTCACAATAATTCTACTTTGTTTGTTTTTACTCCTGAACTTCCTCTACCCTCAACCTCTCCGATCATTTTCATGATGTCCATCCGGACAAGTTCCTTACATTTTCCCCCTTCCACTTTCCTCTTCCATTTTTGCGGTAATGCTGCAATTATTTGGTTGTAATTTTGGGTAGAGCAGACATTTCCATATGTTTTTGTTAGCTGCATGTGCGACATAACTCCACCAGTCCTACCGATGATATCATTTACGAAGATTATACCTTTAAAAAATTTTTTTTTAGCAATTAGTATTTTGGAGTTTAACCACAATATTTGTTGCATTATTTGTTCTGTCGTTTCTGGAGGATTCAATTGAAATTGCAACCAACTTTCTATGGCTTGTTTTAGAAATAGTGATATTTGGGAGATTTCCTTTTCAAATAACTGAAAGTGTGAGGTTGTAATCTGAATAAATGGAAAAAGGCCATTCTTGAACATTGGTAGAGAACCAGTTCGGATTTAAGTATAACTTTTTTTGTATGACTGAAGCTTTTAGTGATAGGTCTAAAGCTTTAATATTTAATCATTGCTGTCCTCTGAATTCATATTCATTATATAAATAGGCCAGTTTAATTTTGTCTGGCTTGCCGTTCCAAATAAAATTGAATCTTTTTTTCTCATATCTCATATTTTTTTCTCATAAAAACTGTTCGCTAGGCGTAGGCAAGACCATAAGCAAATAGGTAAACTGGGATAATACTAAAGAGTTAATCAAGGTGATTTTTCCACAAATTGACAGGTATTTACCTTTCCATGGTAGCAAGATCTTATCTATTTTTGCTAACTTTCTATTAAAATGTGTTGCAGTGAGATCATTTATTTCATTTGGGATATGTATTCCGAGCATATACACATCACCATCAGACCATTTTATTGGTAAACTACATGGTAATGTAACTTTTTTATTTTTTAGTTATCCAATACGTAATATAGTACATTTATCATAATTTGGTTGTAATCCAGAGAGGTTAGAAAATGTATCTAGATTCTCTGAAGTTGTGGATTTAAAAGAAAACATGAATCATCAGCGTACAATGACACTTTTGTTTTTAAGCCCTGTATTTCTAATCCTTTTATATTATTGTTGGATCTGATTTTAATAGCTAACATCTCAATGGCCGTAATAAATAGATATGCCGATAGTGGACAACCTTGTTTCACTCCTCTTGACAGTTTAAAGCTTTCTGAGAAATAGCCATTATTTACTATTTTACACCTAGGGTTACTATACATGATTTTAACCCATTTTATAAGAGATTCTCCAAAATTGAAATGCTCCAGGCATTTATATATAAACCCCAGTCGTACTTTATCCAATGCCTTTTCGAAGTCTGCTATGAATAGCAGGCCTGGATTCCCAGATTTTTCATAGTGTTCTATTGTTTCCAGTACTTGCCTTTATATTATCTCCAATGTATCTTCCATGTAAAAAACCTGTCTGATTAGAATGAATAATGTCAGACAATACCTTTTTAATTATATTTTGCTAGAATTTTTGCATCACAACACTGAAGTGTAAGGGGCCTCCAATTTTTTAAATGGACTGGATCTTTTGTATTTTCCACTTGTGTCCTTTTTCAGTAATAATGAAATCAGACCTTCTTCTTGAGTGTCTGATAATCTACCATTTACATAGGAGTGGTTAAAACATGCTAATAACGGTCCTCAGAGTATATCAAAAAAGGTTTGGCATACCTCGACTGGTATGCCATCCAACCCTGGAGTTTTCCCGGACTTAAAGTCTTTAATTGCATCCAGAAGTTCCTCCTCTGTAATTTCACCTTCACATGAGTCTTTCTGTATGGCTGTTAATTTTACATTATCAATAGAAAAAAAAAACTCTACAATTAGCTTCAGTTAGAGGAGATGGAGGCGACTGAAACAAAAACATATGCTTAAAGTACTTTGTTTACTCCTTCAAAATATAATTTGGTGAATCATGGGTGACTCCGTCATTTGTAACCAGTTTCAGTAAATTATTTTTGGTAGCATTTCAATGCTGAAGATTAAAAAATAATTTGGTGCATTTTTCCCCATATTCCATCCAGTTTGCTTTATTTTTATAATATATTACACTTGATCTTTCTTGAATACGTTTCTCCATTAATTTTGGTTTTTCCTCTAATTTATTCTTTTTTAATTTTAATTTTAACCTTTATTTAACTAGGCAAGTCAGTTAAGAACACATTCTTATTTACAATGACGGCCTACACCGGCCAAACCCGGACGACGGTGGGCCAATTGTGCGCTGCCCTATGGGACTCCCAATCACGGCCAGTTGTGATACAGCCTGGAATCGAACCGGGGGTCTGTAGTGACGCCTCAAGCACTGAGATGCAGTGCCTTAGACCGCTGCGCCACTCGGGAGCCCATTCTGAGCCTCTATGTTAGTTTTTATTGCTATCGATCTGTTCTGTTAGACCTTCTATTTCCTTTGTTAGTATGGACTCTTTTGACCTAAATTGCTTTTGTTTTCGAGATGAGTACTGAATTGCATAAAGGCACATTCAAAGGTATCCCATACAATAAAGGGATTTGCTGTACCTATATTATGTCGGAAAAAATCAGTTATGAATTCCTCTGTCCTAGTTAAAAACAAGTTATCATCCAATAGGCTTTGATTAAATTTCCAATATCCTCGCCCATGTGGAAATTCAGTAAGAGTAATGTATATGCCAATTATATGATGGTCCGACCGCATTCTGTCCCCTATCAACACTTTTTAAACTTTTGGTGCCAACGAGAATGACATAAGAAAGAAGTAAAGACGACTAGCTTGATTGAGTCTCCGCCATGTATATCTCACTAGATCAGGATATTTAAGCCTCCATATATCTACTAGTTCTAATGTATCCATGACATTCATGATTTCCTTAAGAGCATGAGGGTGATTGTTTGTAGTGTGATTTCCTTTACGGTCCATTGAGCTATTTAAAACAGTATTATAATCCCCCACCATAATAATATTGTCTTGAATTGCTTGCAGGGTTGATAATTTATTATATATATTGTCAAAGAAGTGTGAATCATCATTATTTGGTCCGTAAAGGTTAATGAGCCATATCTGTTTATGGTCCAATAACATATTTAAAATAATCCATCTACCTTGCGTATCTGTTTGGACAATTTGCACATTCGGATCGAAATTAATATCATCATCCCTTTTGAGTTTCTTAGCCCATGGGAGAAGTATATTTCACCCCCCCCCCCCCCCCCCCCCCCCCCCCATTCCTTTTTCCATGCAACTTCATCTAGACTTGTTGAATGAGTTTCCTGTAAACAATAGATATTATATTCCTTCTCTTTGAGCCATGTAAATATTGTTCTTCTTTTGTTATTATCTCTTTGTTTCGCTTAGATAGATACCTATAGATGCCCACTCCTTCTCCCATCTTCCACTCCTACCTACCTTCCATTACACTCGGCACATCTTTCCACAGTTCTAGTGTTTTATAAGAGTTGATGCTTTATCTTCTAGAACTAAAGTGCCTGAGGGCTGCTAAATGTTGGGCTTTGGCAATATCGGAGGCGGCAGATATGTATGATGCTTTAATATCCGTGATCTGCGGGGAGTCGGTGGAGGATGGATGGATGGATGGATGGATGGATGGATGGAGGGAAGTAGGAGAGGCATTGGAGATGGAGGGATGGATTCAAATAAGTGTTGGCAATCCCCCTCTGATTGGCTATCGCTCTCTCTTTCTCTCCACTGCAGGGGCACACACTTTCAATTAGCTCGTCCCTTCATACCAGCCCATGTGCAACGTACACACACACACACACACCACTCACTGCACATACAGCTCTCTTTCTCCAGACGTTTCTACAAAGATTGAGATTTCACATACATTTCATTAATGAGGTGTGATGGCTTAGAATGTTATTCCCTAAACTGTAATTATAGATCTATGTAAGTATACTCTGGTGTGTAAAGTATGCTGATTCTCTTCTGAAGTCTCTATTGGTCTATCACAAAGTGCTTGTATCCTTATCTCGTTTTATGAATGCCTGTGTTTTTTACATAAATGTGAATTGAATGTGTATTAACGTCTGTGTGTTCCTGTGCGTCACGACAGGTTACAGCACCATGAGTCCTCAGGAGGACAGCGAGAACCCTCCCTGCAACAACGACCCCCTGTCGGCCGGCGTGGACGTGGGGAACCACGACGACGACCTGGATCTGGACGCGCCCCCTCAGACGGCGGCACTGCTCAGCCACAAGTTCCACCCGTACCGCCACCCGCCCCACCACCAGCTCCACACACACACACACCACCTGCAGGCAGCAGTCACTGTGCACAGTGTGGACGCAGAGTGCTGATCCTTCATACCCCGACCCCTACACATGCCTCAGCTCTCCTCCAACCCCACCAGCCCCCTCCCGAGCCTGGCTACACCACTACTAGCTATTCATCCAACACTACCACTACCAACTCCAGACTCCACCACCAATGTGTGCTCCCACTGTGCCCAGCCAGGGTGAGAGGAGTTGGGCTGGGGAGAACAGAGCAGACCCCCCGCTGTTGCACCCTGCTGGAGGAACACTAGCTTCTGTAGCACAGTATAGCTCTGCTCAGATACATGGGGGAATGTGGTGGAGGCCTCTTTTATTCAAAAGGGGTCTGAACTTGTTTAAAAGTGTAAACAAAGCATCTCAGATTTATAAGAAGAAGATAACAAATAAAAAATAAAGGATTATTTTTCTACTATTTATTGAACTGGATTTGAGAGTGATCAGATGAGCGCCTGACAGTGGCTGCAGCTGAACTGAATGGACTCTGGTCACCAAGGTAACCGCAGTGGCTGATCATGGACCACAGAGTGTCTCTGCTGCAGACGCCCCTCACTTCCTGTTAAGGACATATAATATCCTGTGTCACCGCAATGAAGAGGAAGGGGTTATTCAGCACATATCTAACACAGGTTATCATTTGGATTATTTTCAGTTGAGAATCAGAAAATCATTGTTATTGTTGTGAAGGTGAAAGGAGTTGAACTCTTTGTACTGACTGAACAAGCTGAAAACAAGACATTGAGAAACTCACCCACTAATCCACCCTACCAGGAAACCACCAGTCTAGGGCTGGTTTGTGTCAACAGGATGCTGTATGACTGAATATGGAAGGGCCATGCCAGGCCAGGACCCTGGCAGAATGACTCAGACACACAGGAAGTGCCATTCCCACACTTTAGTGCCCTGTTAGCTGCCTGAACAGAAAGGTATAGAGCTGCTGAGAGGGATTGGTTGGTCACTCACTAACTGTAAGTCGCTCTGGATAAGAGTGTCTGCTAAATGACTAAAATATTTTTTTTAAATGTCTGTCTGTCTTATCTGACCCCTACACACTATCATCTGGACCTGGTGGGCCACGCTATGACTCTGTCTCTATGCCTGAGTGGGACCTATCAGTGTTGAAGAGAGGTGTGTGTGTGTGTGTGTGTTTGGCCTGATTGTATGAAAGTGGTCAGAGCATCTCCGTTGAAGGCGTTATTACATGGTTTAATTGTTTTGAAAGTGTAATTAGTGAATAGAGATGAAATTATTTTTGTTTCAGCAGTCCGCCTGATTTTCTGATGAAGAGTAATTTCCCCCTGATTACTTTTTTTTGTCATGTGATTCATGGATTACCTTCTCCAAATCAAGTCAGTATGGTATTAATTTAGTTTGGGTGAAGAATGTCTCATGTTTGTTTTACCCCCGAGCTAAACAGTATAAAGTGTACATACCTTTTTAAAAGTCACAAATAGCTATTCATGTGTTGCACTCCATATTTTTATGTTGGAAATGAAATATTGTGTACTCAAAATTATGCTGAGATATTTGGGTTTATTGTGATATTTTTCAGTTCATGGTATCTATCTGACTATATACCCTGTGACGCCTTGGATGTTATTAGGTCTATCTTTCTTTAGGTCCATATTGGATGGAAGACAGACTGACATAGTTGTATTTTACACACTTAAAGTTGAAGATCAATCGTTTTTTAAAAACCTCATTTTTGTTTAGCCACGTAGGGTCAAAATGTCACATAAGACAATATAAATTGTCAGGAAGAGATTTTATTTTAGACTGCAGTGGAACTTTCTCCCTGTTCGTTGACTTGGATTAGTTCTAGACAGGGTATGGGTAAATTTCATTTCAATTCTTAGAAATTGAATATCGGGTTACTTCCTGAATTGAAATATAACATTTTACATTTACATTTTAGTCATTTAGCAGACGCTCTTATCCAGAGCGACTTACAGTTAGTGAGTGCATACATTTTTTTTATTTAATTTTCATACTGGCCCCCCGTGGGAATCGAACCCACAACCCTGGCATTGCAAACGCCATGCTTTACCAGCTGAGCTACATCCCTGCCGGCCCTTCCCTCCCCTACCCTGGGCCAATTGTGCGCCGCCCCATTGGTCTCCCGGTCGCGGCCGGCTACGACAGAGCCTGGATTCGAACCAGGATCTCTAGTGGCACAGCTAGCACTGCGATGCAGTGCCGAGTGGCGCAGTGGTATAATTGACTCCAACTTTAGTTCTAGAATACCTTTTCATTGAATGATAATGACCAATGACATGTTGTGTTGTGTAGCTCATATTGTGGTGTTCTACTCTCACTGTAGTTAAAAGCAGTCATCTGTTTTAGTCACAGTTATCTCCTACTGTCCTGTTCATAACCACCACCACTGAAATGATAGCACTGGACGTTACTCATAACACTACACAGCTCTGGGAATATACCCCCTGATTTTGTGACGTCGGTTGGTGCATATTTCCAACTGGACGGCATCAAAACATAAGTGGGTGGGATGTTTAGATGTTTTGTTTGATTCTGAAAAACAGGAGGTACATTTACTGGGACTGTATTGTAATTACGTTTTTGACGCGAGAGAGCATGAACAGTATTTACCAGCTGTTGTAAGCAAGTATAATCTTGTGTATACCGAATTTAATTAATGTACTGAAAGAACTTCAATGTGTGTATGTCATTCCCCTGTTTTCCAGTGTAACATATACAGTTATAAAATGGAGATTTATTGCAATGTGAATGTGATTTTAAAAAAAGTATGTTACACTTAAAACCACTTGCCTTTGAATGTATTTTCCATTAACTATGCTACAGTTCACCGTGTACCATGTACTGCCTCAATATTTAATTCACGGTGTACCATCATGTACTACTCCCTTCAATATTCAAATCAACATACAGTCGTTTTAGTTTAGACACATGAATCACATCTTAGTTCAGCAATAACATGCCACCTTAAGTACCACCCATGGCAGACACAATCACAATACTACAACCTAGTAGGCCTTCAAAATGACACATTCTACAACTGGATTCCCCTAGAATGATCATTTCATAATCTGATGTTCCTAGGTCAGTCTGTAGGGCACCATGTCCCACCTGCCAGTACAGATACAGTAGGATTAACTGATAGGGAGGGATTACCTGCTCCTTTATCCAGCCTCAGTGTCAGGCCCATATTTATTGTTGTTTGATTAGACTGGGGTGGGAAGGTAATTTAGGTCAACTGAACGGTACTAGACAATGGCCTTTCAATCCCACAGGCTAACTGCCCTCTGTTTTCACCGTGTTTTAGCAGTAGTTCATTGTGGAGGAGGTAGGGGAAGAGCTATGCATTGTAGTGCTTCTACATCTGCATTGCCTGCTGTTTGGGGTTTTAGGCTGGGTTTCTGTATAGCACTTTGACATCTGCTGATGTAAAAAGGGCTTTATAAATATATTTGATTGATTTATATTTATTTATAAGCCTTTCTGGACATCTGAATTGCCGTATAGAATTTTGTACCAAACAGTCGTAGATCTGAAGACATGTTTTGATGCATCTAGATTCAAGATGTTTCCTTGTATTCAGTCTCTTTTAGAGATGGTGAATCCATGTGCCTAAAGTGATGAATTGATGTCTTGGCATCAATGTATGTAATGTGATGTATAGGTCTATGAGGAAGATCTACAGACATACTTCAGCAGTTGTGAATAATGGGTAAATGCTGAAGTGGCATTCAGTCTGTGTCCTCTATCTAACCAGGTCTTCTCTCCACATTTCTAAACTAAGTTTCTTCTTCAGATAAAGAGAAGGACATGGTGGACGTTTTTCCTGAATGACCATACGCAGCAGGACAGGAAAGTGGACCAGCTTGCTCTGCAGTGCTGAAGGATGGGCCAGGGCCAGCATGGAGAAGAAGAGTGGAGAGCTCCTCTCTCGCTCTCTTTATCCATCTCTCTGCCAGGGATCTGCTCTGAATTAGAGCACTCTCACTGTCCTCCAAGTTTCCTCAGGCCATTCTGGGTGCACCCAAGGCATTCCCTGCCAACTGGGGAGTAAGCATATACATTAACTAACAGGCTAGCATACTCTGAAGTAGGCCTATACTTATTTGCATCTACTGCTCCTTGTCTTCATCTATGCATCCCAGGAGGACCACTGGTTGAGGCTGATGTACCATTAATGGCCAGTTATGTTGAAGGGCATTGGGTAGGTGAGAGAGGATAGGGGTTCTGCTCATGCATAATCCATTATGTAATTTTCTGTTCTTCAATCCCATAAATGTGTACTTGAATGGTGAGGACAACCATCCAGTGTCCTGGATTAAAAGCAAGGAATGACCATGTAAATGGATGAAATAGATAGATCTACAATGAAGATGCATTTTTCTCTCCGTCCCTGGATTGATGACGTTTACTCCTCCACACGCACATGCACACACACACACACAGCACCTCACTCACAGCCATTCAGGGTTCAAGGTTCCGTCTGTCCGCCTACATAACATAAACATGTGTCCCAGGTTCCTGTGTTGCCCATTCAGCCACTCGCTGACACCTGCTCACAGGTCCCAACGATCGAGCGCTGACGTTTCCTTGTTTCTTCTCATACTCCCACTCGGTGGTATCTGGTTGGATTGCCTGCCTTTCTTTTTACATGTGCAAGACATCTCTGATTTGCATGGGTGAAAAAAGTGACACGTTTTGATGAGGAATTATTATGGCATGAGGGGAATACAATGGTATGTGTGTGTGAGAGAGATAATTGTTCTCTTGAGGGGAGTTTCTGTTTATCTCTGATTTGGATAAATCATGTCTCTTCAGCATCTTGTTGCTGACAAGCATCACTGACCATTTCAGAGAAAACACAGTTTAAATTTTGTATTTCTCCTTTATTTAACCAGGTAGGCCAGTTGATTGATTCATGTCTTCCAATCTGTCCGGATATTGTGACATCATTTTGCAAGTACGCTCACATACAGTACAGTTTTGAGAACACTCATTTAAGCCCTATATCCATGGAATAGGTATATTAT